AGTCTAAAGAGGAATTTATGGACTAGTATTAGACATATGGGCTAATATCAGACTTATGGACTTGACCTGGACTGAGCTGGGCTGTTTTCTCAATATTCCATTGCTCTTGTATATAAAGCTCTTTCTTATACACGTAAGTGTCTATGAATGCTTCGCTAGTCAACCTAGACTAACACATCATTTCTTCCATTTGCTTTAGCTACTCTTTGATTATGAGCAGGTCTCAGATTCTGTTCTGACATCCACTTTGATCTTTTCTTTCTTTCCTGTCTTTTTAATGAACTTTTGCTCTCTTCATGAATGATGGTCTTGATGTCCTCCCACAGCTCACCAGGTCTCTGTCATTAGTGTGCAATGTGTGAAATCTGTTCTTGAGGGGTTCTCGAAATTCGGGTGGGATAGACTCACCGGTTTATTGTAGCTCTGGTAAACTTGTTTTAATTTTCTTCAGCTTTATCCTGAACTTACATATAAGTAATTGATGGTCTTTCCCCACAGATTTAATCAGTTTGATTTCTGTGTATTCCAACTGGAGAAGTCCATGTGTAGAGTTGCCTTTGGTGTTGTTGAAAAAAGTGTTATGAACAAGTCCTTAGTTTTGAAAAATTCTATCACGTGATCTCCAGCTTAATTTCTATCACTAAGTTCATGTTTTCCAACTGCAGTTCCTTCCTCCTTTTTTCCAATTTTTGCATTAAAATTGTCAATAATTATTAATGCATCTTGATTACATATTTGATCAATTTCTGACTGAAGTGATGGCAGAATTCTTCAATTTCTTCCTCATTAGCTTTGGTTTTGGGTGCACAAACTTGGATAATGTTGTATTGAATGGATTACCATGAAGGTGCGTAGATATAATCCTATTACAGAGAGCATTGTACTTCAAGGTTGATTTTGCAATGTCCTTTTGGACGATAAATGCCACACCATTCCTATTGTGTTACTCCTGGCATAGTAAATCATATGACTTCCTGATTCAAAATGGTCAATTTCAGCTCACTAATGCCTAGGATATCGGTTATGCCTTCCATTTCTTATTGGACGACTTCCAATTTTCCTAGATTCATATTTAGCACAATCCAAGTACCGACCATCAGCAGACTTTTGCAGCTGTTTCTCCCTACCTTGAGCCACACTCCCTCAGCAAACGAGGATCCCAAAGGCTCCACCCCCACAGGCTTTACTCCTGCAGTTCACCACGATCAACCCCACTCTGAGAAGCAGCTGCTCCTCGGTCCTATTTTGAGTGCTCTCTGACCCAGGGCCCACCCTCTGGCAGGATCTTGGATAATGCTCTGCTTCCACTCATTAGACTGTCAGTATCTGACAACATTTTTAAGCTATGCCTAAATTTGTTGTTGTTGTCTCTCAGTTTGTGGTCCTGTGGCGGCTTGCATGTTATTGTGATGCTGGAAGCGATGTCACTGGTATTTCAAATGCCAGCAGGGTCACCCGAAGTGAACAGGTTTCAGCGGAGCCTCCAGACGGAGAACGGACAATGCAGAAGGACTCGGCTTCCCATTTCAGAAGAAGGAGCCTCTGAAAATCTAATGCATCGCTTCGAATACACCTGTAAGTCATATACTTCTTTTAAAATCACCAATATGAGACCAAAAGGTTAACAATTACTTTAAAACAACGGTGAGAATGTAAAGGGGGCTGGTGAGAGCAGGGAAATGGATCAATGGCAAGAAACCACTAGAATGGAAATCACGAGGACATTGACCACCGTGGAGGGAGGAGCCAATGCCGCTGAACAACTGGAGCAGAGTGTTTTCTGGTCCAAATTATGCACACAGACACCCACACCCAAAGGGACGTCGGGACATTCTGGGACAATCCCAATCCCTTTTGAAGCCCCTTTGTATGAAGACCCTTCGATAACAGAACATTAAACACACACCCACACATAAATTCAAACTCAGCAAGTCAATTCCGATTCATAGTGACCCTACAGCAAACCTACACACACAGTTAAGTTGCATGCCAGTTCACGACTTTTAAAATATATGTTTTTTGCATCAAAGAACAAAGAAATCATATCATTGAGAATGAGGAGCAGTATGGAGTAGGGACCCAAAGCCCATCTGTAGACAACTGGACATCCCCTTACAGAAGGGTCACGGGGAGGAGACGAGCCAGTCAGGGTGCAGGGTAGCAACAATGAAACATACAACATTCTTCTAGTTCCTAAATGCTTTCTCCCCCAACCCCACCCCCACTATCATGATCCCAGTTCTACCTTACAAATCTGGCTAGACCAGAGGATGTACACTGGTATAGATAGGAACTGGACACACAGGGAATCTAGGACAGATGAATCCCTCAGGACCAGTGGTGAGAGTGGTGATACCAGGAGGGTGGAGGGAAGGTGAGGTAGAAAGGGGGAACCAATCACACGGATCTACATATAACCTCCTCCCTGGGGGACAGACAACAGAAAAGTGGGTGAAGGGAGACGTCGGACAGTGTAAGATATGACAAAACAATAATACTTTATAAATTATCAAGGGTTCGCAAGGGAGTGGGGGTGGGAAGGGAGGAGAAAAATGAGGAGCTGATACCAAAGATTCAAGTAGAAAGCAAATGTTTTGAGAATGATGATGGCAACAAATGCACAAATGTGCTTGACACAATGGATGGATGGATGGATTGTGATAAGAGCTGTACGAGGCCCCAATAAAATAATTTATGTTTATATATATGTGTGTGTGTGTGTGTGTGTGTGTGTGTGTGTGTTTTAAATTGTGGTTTTGGGAAACTTTTAGTTGTTCAGAATTGCCTCTTACTGCTGTCCACTAATCTAAAGACTAACTCTGATTAGATCAGGCTCACCCCGGATCTTCAGTAGCTCCCTATTGTCTTTTGAATTGCACTTGAACCCTTCCTTGTGTTTCTCAGAACTGCCCCGCGGGAGCAGAAAGCGTCGTCTTTCTCTCACTGAGTAGCTGGCGGGTTCAAACTGCTGACCTTGCAGTTGGCAGCTCAGTGAAAAACCACTACACCATCCCTGCTCCCTGCCCTCCCCACAGTCCACACTGGCCTCTCCTTCCCGCTGGCTTTCCTCAACTGTACTCTTGGGACTTTCCTTTCCCAGAAACGACTTGTCTCTAATACAAAGAAGCCTCCTTATCCCTGGCACACACAAAGAATTGCATTAAAACCTTAGGGAAGTGCTGCCTCACCCAGAGGCTCTTTGGAGCACTGTCCTCCAACTCTTTTTACTCTTTCTGTCATATTTGACACTGGGTGGGCCCACAGTGCCACCCAGGCTGGGCACCTGGCGCTAAACCAGGGCTCTCCCGTGCTCCCTGGTCCCGGTGTCTCCCAGATACGCTCTTACCTGCCGTGCCCGCAGGGGACCAGTCAGCCCCCGGGAGGATCGCTAGGCTTTGTGCCTACAGCATCCCCTTACAATGAATCCCTCGGCGCTATTTGGTATTTCTTTCAAGGGATCCCCATGAGGTTGGGCCACCAGAATGTCACTGCCGCGTGGATTTGGGGTGACTCGGATGGTCTCCCTTGGCAAACTCCACCAGGAACCACAGGCCTTTGGAGTATCCCTACCAGTTTCTTCCAGTAGGCTACAAGGTCTCGAAGAATCTGTTTCTAAACCGTGTGAGGCCGGGTAGGTGCGCACTGTGTCTTTTCAGCATGAGTAACATCTCCTGGGCAGGTTCTCTGGTCTCTTTTGTCCCAGGAGTCTACTGATGTTGCCCTCCTCCACCCACTCCTAGACCATTGCCATCCATCTGAGGTATGGACCAAAACCCAAACTTGCTGCGAGTCGATTCTGACCCTACAGGACAGAGGAGGGCTGGCCCCGGGGGTTTCCGAGGCTGTCGGTCATGATGGGGCGAGAAGGCCCCATCTTTCTCCCGAGGAGCAGCTGGCGGTTTCCCCCGTGGTGGACCTGGTGGTTCGGACCACGACGCGGCCAGGGTTCCTTCCAAGGGGCAAGGAAGGATGTGCATGTCCCCAGGTGCTCATCACTGACCTGACCTTCGAAGGGCAGACTTGTCAGGAAGGCGCAAACCCGCTTCCAGTCTCTCCAGAGATTCAACTCCGAGACATGTGGCCAGCGCCGCGTGCGGAAACACCACGTGGGTGACTCAAGAGGGGCAGCCCCATGCGTCGTCTGAACTGCACCACGTCTGGGCTGCTACACACGGCCGTGAGAGGGACAGACGCTTGCTGGGTTTTGCTTTGGATCCTCTGCCCCAACCTCCTGGAAGTGACTCTCTCCAGAGGGGTGGGGGTGGGGTGGGGAGGAGGGTGGGAGCAAAAACAACAAAATCCCGATGTGGAGGAGACAGAGAGCTGGCTTCACCCCCCATGGAACTACTGCGTACCTGAAGCACAGCCACTTGGCGAGAAGAACATGGTGGCTTTGCTTCGCAGTCACCTAAATGAAAGGGCCCGGGGTTTGGCCCCGGCTCAGAGGAAAAGGCACCACCCCTGAGAGGCGCCCCCCTGCCCCTCCCACGACACCTGAGCACTCTCGGCCAAGCCTGGGCTCGGCCCTAGCGCACATCTGAGAAAGGATGCCTCCCGGCACCACCAACAGGGCGGGAGGCCTGCCCGCTGTTGCCACGGTCCACCCATGTGGCTCACAATGGCTGCATGAGGTCACGGAATGTTGAGGATGAAAGGAAAGTGTCCCCTAAGCCACAGCTTCGCGGATGGGTGGCCATCCTTTTGACAGGACTCCCAGGAGCGGAGCCACACCACCGTCCCTGATGAGCGTGGGAAGCAGCTCCCTCCCTCAGGCAGCAGAGTTGGGGTCAAATCCCTGTAGGCGCAAGCCCCACCACAGCCCACTTTCCCGGGGGGTTGCTGGAACGGAAGGATAACCACACACCCCCACCCAGGTTTTACCTGTGCTGAGGTCCAGGGGGTTGAAGTTTGAGGAGGTGAATGGACAGGTGAGCTGCTCTTAGGGAAGTGGCAGAAAGGTGGCAAGAAGCTGGCAGCAACCCTCAGGGGGTCCTGACACCATGGAGGAGGATGAGCCTCTTGAGGCCGAGACAACAGGTGACAGAAGCATCCCATCCCACTCCATCCAAGCCCTTTCAGTCCCAGGGACCCGGAAGGCCCCATCTCTCCTCACCTGGGGCCCTCGAAAATTCTGGCTCAGGCTCAGGGCTTGGTGAACAGGAACGAGAGGGTCAGATGCAGTGCTGGGTTGGAACTGACTCCCAAGAGGCTCTAACGTGGGCTGCTTTCTAATCCCAGGGAGTTTGTGAACAGGTAGGTCTGTTTCCGTATCTCTGGGCCGGGAACTCACCTTCACAGCTGGGATCAACCAGCTGAAAGTCCTCCTCTGGCCGACTCTCCTGTTCCTTTTTGACATCACATGAGGGATTTGAAATCAGCCATGGTGGGAGTCCTTAGACCACGGTACCTTGGCTAATATTGTAAATCAGGCCGCCGGGGGAGGGAGGGGCAGGAGGAAGCACCAGCAGGTGTCGGCGCTCCACTGGCTGGACAGAATTCTCAAAGTGCTTAACTCATGGGCATGCAGAGGCTCAGACGCGTGTCACTCTCCAGGACTTCCAACTGTCAGCCCCTCGCCACTCCCAGCCCTTATCACTCAGGCCTGTCGCCCACCTGGGCTGGGAACTGACTGCTGGGGCCAGACCAACCTGTGGGCCGGAACTAAGGACGACACAGGCTTGTGTGAACTCCTCTGGAACCCCACCATCCTAGAATCCGGGTGATCAAAACTCAGTCCCCCAAAACAGCCTGCCTCCTGCAGGACAAGGGAGCTCTGAATGTTGGGGCTTGGGGCTGGGCCCAGATCCAGGAAACATGCCCGGGGCCTGCTTCGATCCAGGGCAGGTTTGCCAAGCCCCTCTTCCTCCTGATCCTAAAGGGACTTCTTCCCTGGAAGAAAGAGAGGCGGGATCAAATCCGTAAGACTCAAGCTGCCCCTCCGACTGCTCCCTGGAGTTCACTTCACATTTGCCCCGGGGACTCCACCTGCCCTGTCCCTTGCCTCCCCTCCCCTCCTCCACCATGTGTGTGCCTGACAGTCAAAGTCACCTGCTTCCCCAGAAAGAACAGCCGCAGACTCTTGACACCCACCCACCCAGAGACACCAAGGCTGTGGGTCTCCTGAGAATGCGCACCAGGGGTGCTGAGCACAACACCCCGTGGGCCATAGAAGATCCCCTGGCAGGAAGCGAGAGTTTGCACCACACAGTCTCCCTGGCAGGGGTTGGGGCCCACAGAGGGCTGATTCCAGGGGGGCCCTGGGACCCACAACCAGAGTGCGGAGCAGAGGCAGGGGAAGCCGGCGGCAGGTCCCTCCCAGAACTAAGGAGCTGGGTGTTTCTTCCAGATGAGGCTGAGTCTGCACCCGCGCCCCAGGACAGTGATGAGACGCTGTACTGCGAGGCCGAGGCTCCCCTGACGGTTGAAAAGGAGAAGCCGGTCTGGGAAAGCTCAGAAACGGACCTGGAGATTGAAGGTGAGCTGCCCTTTGCAGCGGGGAGGGGAGGGGGGGAGGGGGCAAGCAGGCAGGTAGCCGGATGGCCTCCTTCCTCGAAAATAGGAGAAAGCCATCCTTTCCCTCCTGTCCTCAGTGGCCACAGCCCTGCCCAAGCAGGGACGTCACGCTGTGTGGAGCTTACACAGTGTCCTCCTCAAGGCTGGCCTGTCCGAGCTCAGGGCCGATCCTCCCAGCAGCCCGAGGCAGGGCAAACCGATTAAAGGCCCAGGCTTTTTTTTTTTGGTGTGTGTGATCTAAATGTTTCCAGATGTAGCATCTTCTGTCACCTTTGCAATGTCCCAGGAAGTCGCCATTCTCAAGCCCCTCTGTCTTTACTCACTCACATACTGGCCCGGTGGCGCTGTGGTTGAGCTCTTAGCTGCTAACTGAAAAGGTGAGCGGTTCACCCCCCACCAGCCACTCCTTGGGAGGTATGCCGTCTGGGGCCCTCGACTTGGAAACCCTATGGGATGTTCCCACTGATGTCCCTGTCCACACTCAATTGTACCCGTTCGAGAAGGTGGCAATAGATCCACTGCTGTCCAGCGACCTCTAAAGTATATCCCCAGGCAATGTGGTGAGAGAAAGATCTGGCTTCCGGGTAGAGCTGAATAAATCCCATGGTCAAGCCCAGCAACACTGCCCCGTTTGGTGGACTAGAAACATGCTCCAAACTCAAGTCCTGTGCTGGAACAGACACTTGGCCTGGACGCTCTGGCTCCTGGCGCTGACAGCTGCTGAGGGTGCACAAGAAGGACATGACCCGGTGGGAGTCAGAAGCTAGCAGCCGGGCTGCAGTGCAGGAAAAGGAAGAGTTCGCTCACCCACCCTGGGGCTGTTTTTCCTGCACAAATACGGTTCTCAACCGGAGGCAATTTTGCCCCCTCGCCTGCAGCCGATGAGCCAGGCTGCCCAGAAGCAGAAAGAACAAAAGGTTCCGAGAGAGTTGGGTGGAGAGGTGGGGCCCTCGACTTTATGGACTGGTTTTAGCACAGATCAGCAGGGTATGGACTTTGGGCTGGATTTGTTGCCAGTAAAATAAGAATGACAATCCCTTTTATGAGGAAAAATGACATCCAAGCCTTTGAAAGGAGAAAACAAAACAAGAACAAACTAAACTCGCTGCCGTCGCATTAGCAATCCCGTAGGACAGAGTAGAACTGACCCTGTGGGATTCTGAAACCGGAAAGCTCTAAGGGGTAGACACCTCTCCTTTCTCCCACAGAGCAGCTGTTGGCTTCAAACTACTGAGCTTGTAAAAACTGGTGTCGCTGGCTCTTCTGAAAGAAGCCCCATTTAAATGCGGTCTGTGGCTGTGGAGGGGTGGGGGGGTAGTGCAATGATTAGGGAACACCACACTGGTGTCCCACACAACTGCCTTCCCTGCAGATACCAGCCTCGAGTTCTGGTCCCCCAGGACCCTTCTCACTTCAGACCAGCAGCCTACAAAGCCTTCACACTGACCCTCAGAACATCCGCAGAATACACCCCAAGAGCTCTCACAGAAGGCAGTCAAAGTGCTGCACTTAGGATTACAGTTTTATAGCAGAAAGGCTGCACGTTAGCACCAGCCAGAGGAAGAAATGAGAAAGGGCAGGTTAGGAGGGGGCCTGATGGCACCACGTCCTACTTAACTGCACAGTCCGTGGTTCAATCCCACCGACCACTCCAAGGGAGAAAGACGAGTCTGTCTCCTCCTGTCTCGATGTACAGTCTCAGAAACCCTTCGGAGCACCTCTAGCCTGCCCTGCAGGGTCACCATGATGGCAGTGGGTGCAGATGGGAATCCTGATGGGAGCCTTGGGTCATCCTGTCTTCGTGGAGTCCTGGGCAGCCACCATGTGGGTGACAATACACAGTAAGCTCACCTGAGCCTCTGTTGCCAGAGTCTGTCCTGAGGCTCAATCATCGGAGGGAGTTTCAAAAAATTTCATGGGGGAAATTCCATTATCTTTTCATTCCATTTTCCACACATTTTCTGTAGCTGCTGCTGTTGTGTTGCTGGGTGCCATCAGTCAGTTCCAACCAGAGTGACCGTCTGCACAACAGACGGAAACACTGCCCGGTCCTGCACCATCCTCACCACTGTTCCTACGTCTGAGCCCATCGGTCCAGGCACGGTGTCAGTCCATCTCATCAAGGGCCTCCCTCTTTGGCACGGCCCCTCCACTTTACCAAGCATGAGGTCCTCCTGTGGGCACTGGTCTCTCCTGACCACATGTCCAAAGTCTGTAAGACAAAGCCTTCTCATCCTTGCCTCTGAGGGGCACTCTGGCCGTACTTCTTCCAAGACAGAGTAGTCTGTCACTTGGCAGCCCATGGTACTTTCGATACTCTTGGCCAGTGTCACAATTCAAAGGCATCCATTGAAGCCCCTGCCCCAATGGCTGCCCTTTATTGAGTCTCCAGCCCTTTGCAAGGCTTCTGGCAAATATCTTAGTCTCCAGTGCTTCAGAAGGTCACAACTGGTCAGTCATGTCCCCGAGCCCCGTCATCGGTCACACTGTTAGACTGCCCAATGGCCAAAGCCCCAAGGTGGTAAACCTAGTCCTACCCGGCAGGACTCTCCATGGGCCTACTGATCCCTCCCAGCTGTGGAGGGCAAAGGCCAGGCCTCCCTTGGCCGCCGTTGTTGGGGTCATCAGGTCAATTCTGATTCATCGTGACCCTCTGGGACTGGGTAGAACTGCTCGATAGGGTTTCCTAGGCTGTAATCTTTATGAGAGCAGACGGCCAGGTGGTTTCTCTCCCAGGACAGGACAAATGGTGGATTCGAACTGCCAACCTTTCAGTCAGCAGCCAAGTGTTAACCATTGTGCCGCCCAGGCTCTGGTTCCCCTCTTTGGACCAAGTCAATCCTTCACCCAGGCCATCTTTCCATCTTGCAATGATTCCTGTCTCAAGATGCTCATGCTGTCCCGCTTAGATGTCTAGTGGGGACTTCCTCTCTTGCAACGTTGTATCCATTGCCCATCACCTTGTAATACTGGCGATGGCTCCCGGGTGGTGAAGCTGCTGAGCACTGGCCTGTGAATCGAAAGGCTGCTGGTTGGAATCCACCCACCGACACCTCAGGAGACGGGCCTGGTGGCTACGCTCTTGAAAACCCAGGAGGCAGTTCTGGTCTGCCCTCGTGGGATGGCCGTGAACTGGAATCAAGCAGACAGCAATTAAACCAAAACTGAAGTGGAGCCTCCCTCCCCTCCCCCACCCAGGCTCAAAACCCACCTGTTCTTATCTGGTTTAGGGCCTTCACACTGGTCCCAAAGTAGGCAGGGAGTCTGGGACTTCATACTTCCTTGGGGCTCGGTCCTGCAGTCCACCAGCCTGGGAAGACGGAGGCCCTCTCTTCCCTTCTCCAAAAGCTTGAGGCCTTCCTAAAGCCAGGAACTGGTGACCATTGTTGGGGGCTTTGTGGGGCCAAGGCTCCCCCTTTGACCTCTGGCTGATTGGAGGTGCCCTCTAGACTCACACCCACAGGGGCAAATCAACCGGGCAGAAGGGCTGGCGTTCCGAAAGGAAGAGGCCTGCAGCTGAGCATGATATGGCACAAATGGACACGAACTCCTCCTTGACCTCATCTGTCTTCACAGATTCGGAGAAATATTTCACCACTGGTCAGACGGAGCTGTACCTGGAGGCCTGCAAGCTGGTGGGCGTGGTGCCTGTCTCCTACTTCATCCGGAACATGGAGGAGACCTACATGAACCTCAGCCACCACGGGCTGGGGCCCAAGGGCACCAAGGCGATCGCCATCGCCCTGGTGGTGAGCATGCTGGAGGGGCGTAGGGGGGGAAGCGCGCTGGAGACTTAGGAGAGGGGAGGGTGACAGGTGGATAGCTCTTCCTCTTGAAAGCCCACTCAATGCACGTCGGTGCTTGCCGGAATGTTGCAATCCTTGCATTCCACCCTGTCCAACAGCGCTACCCCACGGGAATGGCGGTATCTTTGGGGTAGGCATAGCCAAGCAAGGACTTGGCCTTGAGCACTTATCATGTCATATGATTGCAGCTGATTGCACACAACACGGACTCCCTCCATGCGCACACCTCCCTGAACTCCCCCTGGAGACGTAACCGCCACCGATGGGCACACGCCTGTGGATCAGTTGGAAGGGTAAAGAGACGTTCCAAAGAACATCTCTGTGCGTGGGGACATAGCAGCGTCGGCACTCCACACGTGCCCACTGAGAAGCCGCCCGAAACGAGAGGTGGTACCATTGTTCTGGAGGAGGGGGCCTAACCGTTGCCGGCTGAGTTTCTGGGAACAGTGGTCACAGTGAGGGCTCTGGGGACTTGGAGCATTGGCTTGCTGTTCCAGAGATGTAGTCTGCTCTATTTTCCCATGGACATCCCGTGGACAATCACTGTGACACACTGGTGGCCTCTGGGACCCGCTCCTTACCTCCTGTACTGATCTAGGGTCCTATCTTTGTGTTTCTGGGCTCCCTCCATTGGAAAGCACTCTGGGAGGGAGGTTGGTATTTCTCTCTCTGAACAAGCCCTCTCTGGTCTAGCGAGACGCCCTGGATCTTGGTTGATTAGGTGACCCTGTGTGTCATTGTTTGCTCAGCAGTTGGTCAGCACAGAGGACCACGAGTAGAGAACTCAGCCCCACGACAAGACTGTGGATGGATTTGGGACTGGGCATTCATTTAACATGCAGTGAGCTGGTCCCTAGGATGACTCTGGAAATGGACGTAACTTGATAACACCTAGCCTTCCAGGCCTGCTGGGATCGGCAGTCTCCACCTTACCTTTGAGCATCAGGGAACACTGCTCAGGGAGCTGAGGCCAGCAAGACAGTCCACGCAGCCCCCGGGGAGCCATCCACCACATACCTCACCATCTATCCTTTCTCCTGAAAGGAGAGATGGCCACCAGAGGACCTTGCCATGCTTGGTCCCGCACTCCCTGGGTCCAAAGATGTTGCCTGTGTGAGCTTTCTGTTCTGGGAAAGGAGCCCCGGTGGTGGCGTGTTTCTGAGTAGGGCTGCAATCTGCAAGGTCAGCAGTTCAAAACCACCGGCAGCCCTGAGGGAGAAAGACCGGGCTTTCTACTCCCATGAAGAGTTACTGTCTGTCTCAGAACCCACAGGGGCTCGCTATGAGTCAACACTGACTTGATGGCAGGGAGTGAAAAGGGGTTTTGTTGGTAGCTACTGCAGTCCCGGCCCCCAATAATGGCGGCCAGCTGTACACGGAACGAAACACTGCCTTCTCCCGTGCTGCCCCCATGACCAACGGCGACTCAGACAATGTGATCCACAGGGTTTCCATGGACTGGTTTTCTGGAGTGGGTTGCCAGACCTTTCTTCCGAGTCTCAGCCTAGCAGCTTCCTGCTGAAACCTCTTGGGCATCAGAGCGACGTGCAAACCTCCACTGGCAGGCAGGTGGTGGCTGTGCGGGAGGGCACTGGTGGGCAGTCGAACCCGGTCCCTCCGGCGTGGAAGATGAGAATTCTACCACGGACTCCCTGGGTGGTGCAAACAGACACTGCGCTAGGATGGGACCTGATAGATCCGAGGTTTGAGTCCATGCAGGGGCCCCTACTTCCCACAAACCAGCCACGGGAGAGCTAGGGGCCCGTCTCCCTCTGACACACACAGGCCCCTCGGGCCAGCACCTGGTTTGGGGAAGGAGGACTTAGAGTTGAGCCCTCCTCCCCCTGCTGCCATGCACGGCATGCCTCTCTCTTCACTCCCAGGGGAAAGGCAGAGACGTGCACACTTGCTCTCCGAAACCCAGAGGGGACAGTTTGACCCTGTCCTCCAGGGTCTCTCTGAGTGGGCAGCGACTCGAGGGCTGGAGTCCTTCCTGGGCTAACAGAGAAGGGACCCAATCGCTAAAATAAAGGCCCTGGATTGCAGGCAGTGGGACGCTCCAGGGGGCCGCCCTGCAAGAACTCTTCTCGCTGAACATCCTTCTGAAAGGGATCAGACGTTTCTGAATCTGCAGTACGTCGTCTTCACAGCGCTCGCCCTGCAGGCTAACGAGGGCAGAAACCGCTCAGCTCCTCTGTACCGATTCCCTTTTAGGACTTTGTGGCTATCCCTCTTCTCAATTCCCCCGGGAGCCAGGAGAGGCACCTTGCCCCAGCCAGGCCCTTGGAGGAGCCCCCGTGGCACCGCGGGTGACAGGTAGGGCTGCTAGCGGCAAGGGCAGCAGTTTGAAACCACCAGCCGCTCCAAGGGAGAAAGACGAGGCTTTCTCCTCCCGTAAGGATGCTCGTCTCAGAAGCCCTGTCTTACTGGGTCGCTATAAGTTGGGGCCGACTTGATGGCAGTGAGTTTGGTTTGGGGGGAATGGCATGGCTTCTGCACTAGCCCCCGTTCCTATCTACTCTTGTTCTGACGTGAGTCAGCCCCGACTCAGAGTGACCCTACGCAAGGAGAAGGGAACACCACCTGGCTGTGGGTCGTCGTCCTGGCGGTGCCGGAGGCCACTGTCGTGGTCACTGGGTCAGCCCATCTCCTTGAGGGTGGTCTTTGTCCAGGACCCTCCTCCTCTTTACAGAGCACGAGGTCCCCTTCTGGGAACCAAGCCTCCGTATGCTCTCGTCTGAGGAGCATTCTGGCTGTACTTCAGCACAGACTTGTTTGTCCGTCTGGCAGTCCCTGGTCGGTTCAATACTCTTGGCTAACGCCCGAATTCCAATGCGTCCATTTCCCCGCCGTCTCCCTGACTCGTTGGGATGCTTTCCCGCGCTTATGAGGCAACGGAAAACACCCCGGCTTAGGTCGGGCCGTCTTGGTCCACATCTTTGTCCCTCTCTCCTCCTCTGACCTGGATCTCCACGCCCTCTGGGCTGACTGCGCTCTTCCAGGGAGGGGGGTGCCCACGTTCTGGCCATGATGCGGGACGGATTAGGTTACCAGCCAACTCCTGTGTCTCTGTCCCCCTCCCTGGTGGTGGCTGAAGTCCAACACGTCCATCATCTGCCTGGAGCTCGAGGACAACTGCATGATGGAGGAGGGCGTCACCAGCCTGGTGCAGATGCTGACGGAAAACTACTACATCCAGGAGCTGGTAGTGTGTGTGTGTGTGTGTGTGTGTGTGTGTGTGTGTGTGTGTGTCCTTGGCTGCCGCTGCCGCACCCACCCGGGGGCTCAGAATCACTCAACACCAGCCCAAGCCCAGGCTGGCCCCTGGCGCGCTCTCAGAGGAGAGCCATTAGTCACAGCTGCTAGAGGGGCCATGCTCCCTATGACCCTGGAAACCCCTAAGAAATCCTTTCCATTCATACCTTCTATGCCCCTGAAAGAGCCCCTTGCTTCTCTGTGTCCCTCACTGCCTCAATGTCACTCCACAGCAACCTGATAGGACAGCACAGAACTGGCGGCTCTGTGGGGTTCTGACACTGTAAACTGTGTACCGGACTAGAAAGCCTCATCTTTCTCTGGAGAACAGTGAGCAGTCTCAAACTGTTGACCTTGTAATTAGCAGCTTAACTCATAACCACTACAGCCACCACCCTCCCCACCCCACCCCCAAGTCAATTCCAAGTCCTATCGTCCCTAGAAGACAGGGTAGAACTGGCCCTGTGGGATTCTGAGACTCTAACTCTTTATGGAAATAGAAAGCCTCATCTTTCTCCTGCCGAGTGGCTGGTGGTTTTGAACTGCTTACCCTGCTGTTAGGAGCCCAAGTTGAAACTCATGACATCATCAGGACTCCTTGGGTGACCCCAAAGGGACACCGATGGCACAGTGAGTTAAGCATTGGACTGCCAACCACAGGGTCAGTGGTTCAAACCCACCAATTGCCCCAAGAGAGAAATATGAGGCTGTCTGCTCCCATAAAGATTTGCATTCTCAGAAACCCTAAGGAGCAACTCTAGTCTGTCCTACAGGGGCCCTGTGAAATGGAATTAATTTGAGGGCAGTGGGTTTGGGTTTTGGGTGGCACACATGGCTAAGACAGAGGCACGTAGGAAGAAAGGCCTAGTCTACTTCAAAGAAATCACAGCCAGAAAGAAGCCTGTGAGGGGCAGTGCCACTCTGAACCACGGACGGTGGCTGCCAGGAGTGGGAATCAACTGAGTGGCAACCAGTTACTTGTTTTGTTTTGAAGTACCGGGCTAAACTATGAAGATAGGAGTAATTGAGGCCAACTTCACCGGGGAGTCAGGAGCCCTCGTAGCAGCAGACTACAAATTGGGCTCCTCACCACAAGATCAGTGGTTCAAACCCACCAGTCACCCCGCAGGAGAAAGATGAGGTTGTCCACTCCTGGGAAGATTTCGTTCTGTTCCGTTGCACTGGGTCACTCTGAGTAGAACTTGGCTCCATAGCAGTCAGTTTGGACATGTGGTTGGGTTTTTGTTTTGCTTTATTTTGCTGGGTTTCCCCAGGGGAACTATAGAGAGTCAGCCGGTCTCACGGAGGCAGGAGAAGACCCAGAAGAGGAAACGGCTTTGCAGCAACCCTCTTCCATGTTCTTTGCACAACATCAGTCCTTCCCATCCTGCATGCCCAATCCTCACAGCCCCTCCTCCCTCCCGTGACGCCACCTGACACCCCAGCGAACAAGGCTCCTTCAGGGGGGCCTCGCACATGCAAGTGTTCCCTTGCTTTCTAGAACATTTCCGAAAACAACCTTGGTTTGGAGGGGGCCAGAGTCATCACAGACTTCCTACAGAAAGATGTCTCTGCGCTCTGGAACCTCCAGCTGTCAGGTGAGCCTGCAGGAGGGGGAGGGAGCGGGGGATGGGGGAATCGGGGCTGGTCGCGCTCACTGCCCAAGGAAACTGGACAGCACATGGAAACTGTTCACTGGCACCCACCTGGTACCTTCTCAAGTGGTGCCCTGGGCAGTGCCATCCCTGCTGTACCCCAGATCCTCCTCTGGAGGGGATGTAGGGTCTCCGGGAACTAGACCGCTGAGACCAGAGCCCCGCACTGATCCCCTGCTAAAACCTACCCTGTCCCCCATACTCTACAGCCACACTGTCCCTCAGCTCCCCACCCTCCCAGTCCCACTTGGCTCTCCTCAACACACACACACACACACACACACACACACACACACACACACGGACCTGCCTCTGGAAATTCTCTTCCCTCCAATCATCTGCAAGGCCCATTCTCTCCGTCATCCCTATGTCCTCTGACATCCTCTGAGAGGACTTCCCCAGTCACCCTACCAGTGGGACAGCTGCTCTCCATCCCCAGCACTCTGTGTCCCTTCCCAATGCTGCTTCAGAGCACATGGTGGAGTGCTTATGCATTGGGCTGCAAACTGTAAGGTCGCCAGTTCAAAACCACCAGGTGCTCTGAGGGAGAAAAGGGAGGCTTTCTACTCGTACATAATCACAGTCTGGGAAACCCACAGGGGCAGTTCTATCCTGTCTGATAGGGTCACTATGAGTTGGCACTGACTCGATAGCAATGAGTTTGGAAACTCATTGTATGAATGGTTTCAATCAGTTCAGTCTGGTTTTTCCACTGTGGAGGTGTAGTGGGGAGGGGGGGTACACCTGAGAATTTTAGTACCCACAAAACTGCCCTCAACTCAGGTTTGGAATTTGAATTTAGACCATGTGCAGGCTCAGGGAATCCCAAAGCCAAGAAATTAACATCAAAGTGTGTTCGAATGGCCAACCATTTAAGATCAAAAGGGCAGCATTTAGCAAGGTCAGGATTATGGTAGAAGGAGCAACAGAACCAGCAAACACTGGGAGGAGGTGGGGTCGGCAAAGGTACCTAGAGGGATGGGAACAGGTAGTGGACACACAGTGTATGTCAATTGCTGACTGGAACACTCACGAGCCACTCTGTCCCCCTCCCCCTAAATCACAATGAGCAGTTCAAATTAAAAGTGGCGCTCTCGATAGTCTCACCAACACCACAGGCCAAATGTGTCGAGTCTCCTCTGGTCCTCCTGGTTTACCGTCCGCCTTTCGTGCAGAGATGAGGTGATGGGTCAGGTGCACCGTGCTCCCTGAGTGACATCCTTGCTGTTTAACACTCTAAAGAGGTCTTGTGCAGCACTTTGGTCCAAGCAGTGTGTGCTTCGATTTCCTGACTGCTCCTTCCTGGAGCATTGACTGTGGATCCAAGCACAACGAATCCTTCCTCCATCTACCATGACGTTGCCTATTGACCCAATTGTGGGGACTTTGGTCTTCTTGACACTGAACTATAATCCACACAGACGGCTGGGCTTCAGGACCTCCTTACTTTCCAAAAGCCAGCTTGTGTCTGCATGCGACAGGCTGTTAAGAAGCCTCCCTCCCGTCTTGATGCCCAGGTCTTCGACATAGAGTGCAGCTCCTCCGTCGATTTGTTCAGCACACAGACGGAGTGAGTATGGGAAAAGGATACAACCCGGACACGCACCTTTCCTGATTTCAAACCATGTAGCATTTCCTTGTTCTGTTTGATTAACCTCAATTAAAAACAAATAAACATGAGAAAAGAACAACAAAAGTTTTTAAAGACCCAAATGATGATTTCAAGATAAATCCAGAGGAGTAAAATTACTGCCTATCACAATGCATCCACTTTTGTAAACGTTAGAAATTCATTTCCAACTGTTGGTCTTTACTCATATGGGGCAAAGGAAAGCAAAGACTTGAAGAAGGAACCAGCCCACGGGACTGAAAGCCACATAAACCCTGGTCTCTCCCAGCCTGAGACCCAAAGAACTAGATGGTGCCCGACCACCGCTATCAACCACACTGACCAGGGACCCACTAAAAGTTACCCTCTATCAGGAATGATAAACGGAGAACAAAATCTAAATTCCTAAAAACAATACCGGCCCCAAGCCAGACTCACTGGGCCCTTAGGGGCTAGAGGAGCCTCTGAGAGGATTGCCATAAGATAGCCTTTGAACTTGGGACAGAAGCAGTTCCCAAGGTCACCTTGCAGCCAGATAGAAGCTTAAACTATAAAATATGCACGCTCGCTCATGTACACTGTGCTCCCTGCACGAGACCAACTGATGAGCATTGGCCCCGAGGCAGAGAGGAGAAGGCCAGGACAAGGCCAGGACGGGCAGGGAAGCAAAATCAATAGACACAGCAAGCAGACTGGAAGCCACGAGAACACTGACACATTGTGAATTTGTCATGGGATGGGACACGCGGTGTGAAAATAGCCGGATGGGAGCCCACATTTTTATTTAAGCTTTCACCTAGAACACTATACCACCTGAGGACTGTAAATATTGAAACCCACATCTGAAGGGAGGAATGGTGTCAGGGCTTAAATTGTGAGCACCCAGTTTGCAGAAGGCTATGGATGACAGTGGAAGCCCAAAATCCACCCATTCGCAGGGCCCCACGTGGATTAAGACTCCGGTGAATGTCCTCTGAGCATAGTCCAGGGTGTGAATAGCCTTCTTTCAGAAGAGAGCACTGTAAAGTCCATCGTGGAAGATGCTGTCAGGTTAAAATGTAATACCTATCGTTTGAGCTCCCTTTCGGATCACTTTAAAGCTTCGGTTTTCAGGATTTTCTGCTTTCTCTTCAAAGCGTGTCTACGTTTGTCTAGTCTTCGTCGTCATTGTTGGCTTGTTGGCTTGCTCTGTGTGGTTGTGTTTTGCTTGAGACGATTTTCTGTGTAAGAAATCCAGCATTGGAAGATCCAGAGAGACAGTAACTGGGTAGGGGCAGGGCAAGGGCAGATAAAGAGAAATGGGGAGCTGACTACGAGTAGCAGCAGAAAATGTTCTGAAATCAATTGTGGTGGTGACTGCACAAATCTTCTTAATCCGATTGAACGATGAAATTGTATGATATGTGCCGCATCTGCCAAGAAAATGACCTGGGAAACGCACACAATCACACAGGCACACAATCACACAGGCACACAATCACATAGGCACACAATCACATAGGCACATAATCACACAGGCACACAATCACACAGGCACACAATCACACAGGCACACAAGCACACAGGCACACAATCACATAGGCACACAATCACACAGGCACACAATCACATAGGCACATAATCACAGGCACACAATCACATAGGCACACAATCACACAGGCACACAATCACACAGTCACACAATCACATAGGCACACAATCACACAGGCACACAATCACATAGGCACACAATCACACAGGCACACAATCACATAGGCACAATCACACAGTCACACAATCACACAGGCACACAATCACACAGGCACACAATCACATAGGCACACAATCACACAGGCATTTCTAAGGTCCAGATTTCCCTTTGAGGAGACGGCTGTGGTTGTGTGTGTCCATTCTGACTCACGGCAACCCTACAGGAGAGAGGAGAACTGTCTTGTTGAGTAGCAGATCTCGGGTCCCTCCTCCCGTGGAAAATCTGGTGGATTCCGTCAGCAACCCAGTGCTGAACCACTGCCCCACCAGGGCTCTTTAGGTCTCGGGAGCCCCAGGGGGTGGTAGGTGATGAACTAACTGACTGCTAATCACCAGGTCAGCAGTTCAAGCCCACCAGGTGCGCTGTGCACAAAGCTGAGACTGTCTGCTCCTATAAAGCTTTCCGGCCTTGGACGTTCTAGGGAGCAGTTGTGCTCCGTCCCGTGGGCTCGCTGGGAGTGGGACTCAGCTCAATGGCAGGGTGCGGCTCCAGGTTACAGTTCTCCCGAAGGAATCTCTCTTGCTAGTAGCGGTTAGGTCTATCGGGTTGTTTCTAGCGTGGTCGTCGTACAAGAGGACAGAGCGTGGTCTCCCAGCTGCTGCGATGCTTCAGCCCATTGCTGCCACCACTGCGCCAGTCCGTCCTTCGAGAGTCCTTGCCCTTTTTCACGGACCCTCCACCTGACTGAGCACGAAGTCCTCCGGACTGATTCCCCCTGAGACAGTCTCAGCACCCTCAGTGTGCAGGTGCTTTCTGGCTGTACCTCCTCTTAGGGCGCCCAGGGGTGCTCCACCGTCCTCAGGCCACAACCCTTTCATACAGTGCCTCATGCGGTGGGGACCCTCCAACCATGACATGATTTTCATTGCTACGTCATCCCTGTCATCTTGCTGCTGGTATGAATCGGGCAACCCTGTGCAAGGGTCGTTCGACCCCCAAAGGGTCACAACCCACAGGTTGAGAACCGCTGTTAGCAGTTCGTGGTATATGCATTATGCCAACGCCACAATCCAAAGATGCTGCTGCTTGTTCAGTGTTCCTTCACGCTCATTGGTCTTTCCGTTGTGTATTTACGTGTAGTGGTCTCGACTTGAAAATGGTTTCCTACTTCAGGGAAATTATTGTAAGAATAATTTCCTTGATTTTCTTCAAATGCTTTTAGAATATTTTTAAGATTTGGATCATCAACATATCTGTAGCTCCTATGATGGTATAATATGATTGAAATTGATATCGTCCATTCGCTATATAATATTTGATACATTTGTTCCCTAATAATATAATATAACCATTTTCTATTTGACTGACCAAAATATAACTTTTGTCCAAGTTTCCATCTTAACTATCCTTGTGAAACTTCTCCACTTGAACTTGAAAAGAATTGTCAAGGTCCACTGAGGGGGGGCGGTGCAGATCTGTTGGGATGGTAGTTGGAGTTGCATTTAATATTCTAAATTAATATTCTAACTTGCTGAGATAGTTAGGTTTATTGTTGCCACCTGGCCAATAGGAACATGTGGGATTAATCAGGTTGAAATTTGGTTGGAGGGCAAAGAGATAAATGGCTCTCCCACCCTGTCTCTCGCACTCTGGATCTGAGCATGCTGGAGCGTTCATGCCACTGCTGTAGCTAAGTTCTCTGCCTCAACCTGTGAGCTACACTACCTGTGGGCCAGGCCAGCCTGTGGATCTTGTCGCTAGAGCTTGAGGCTCCTTTGAGACCTGCTTCGCCATGATGCTGGTGTGTACATCGCTTGAGCTTGAGGCTGGTGGATCCTGTCATCTTGCGTTGCTTGTGTTGGATATCCCATCAGGACCTGCTTCACTAAGCTCCTGGGCTACTGATTGTTGGTGACCCACCTGCTGCTGTTGCCTGTGGGCAGACTCTGCTTGCCTTGAAAGCCCCAGGGAAAACTCTGTTATTTGCTTCCTTACCCTTGGACCTGGCAGCCCATGTGAGTTGAAGGACTTCCAGAACATTAACTGCTCCACAGAAGTGAGTTGAACTCAGCCTCTGTACTGCTGTGTGGATGAATTAGCTATTATATTTCTTCTCGCTGTATAAACCTATCCTCTTAGTTATATATAAAATCATACCTGTCCTGGTCTCATTTTTCTAGAGAATGCTGCCTAACAGGGTCACAGGGCTGTGTCTCTTTATCTAGGAACCTGGCTTATCTCTCTCTGTTCAATTTTCTAAAATACTTCGATAAAGTTTCAGAGCTTTATTCCGTGTAGGCCGGTCATATTGCTATCAGGCTTCTAGGTCTTTTAATGTCTTCTGCTTATGGGAATGCAATTGCTGTTGTGTTTGCTCATTGGTGAGTACTGGTGTCTAGAAGCAATGAAGTCTTTGTACAAGGATCCTTTACCCAGGGCCCGACTGACTTCTCTGTGACTTCTAACATTTAGTAGTTAATACTCTGGGGTTATCTAGGTAGCTGATCCACAGGCCATGAGAATGCTGGTCTGTACAGGCCCTGATGATGGTTTTTAGCTGCATTGCCTCCGACCTCGACCACAATGTGGATCTAATGTTGAAAGCTTTTGTCAAAACACAAACCGCTGAGCCCATGCCAGCTGTGGCATCAGACTCTGGAGGGCAGCATTGGGGATTTGTGCCCTGTCACACTGCCCAGCTCCCTTGCCTCTCACTAGCCCTGTGCTGTTTGTGACCTCCGATGCAGACACAGCCGTTCCCAGTGCTGAATGTCTCATTTCAGACGTTGATGAACTTCGTCTCCTATTTTAATGGCACGGGTGCCAGACACTGCCAAAGGAGTATTTGTAATTGGATGGGTGCATCTGTTTATGCATTCATTCTCTCAGCATGTGTCTGTTGAACACCCGTTTGGGCCAAGTACCTTGTACCTTGTTCAGGTACTAGGAATACAAAGGTGATTGCACCGTGGTCCCTGCTCTGGAGAACTCATGGTCCAGTGGCTTGTGGAAGAGATGTGGCAAAGCTGTGCTAGTCCATAGCCAGGCTAGCTGGGGTTTTTTAATCATTTTATTAGGGGCTCATACAACTCTTATCACAATCCACACATACATCAATTGTGTAAAGCGCATTTGTACATTCATTGCCCTCGTCATTCTCAAAACATTCCCTCTCCACTTAAGCCCCCCGCATTAGGTCCTCATTTTTCCCCTCCCTCCCCGCTCCCCCTTGGCTAGCTGGTTTTAAACCATGGTACTTCCTTTTCTGCCTTCTAGGAAAACCCATTTAAGAGATCTTCCCCTCCCCCCACCTGCCAACCTCATCCCTCCCCACCACCCCCACTACTCAGAAAACCTAGATTTTCTAGTAGAAATCATTATAAAATGGATGCAGGTAAAGGCAAAAATCCCCTATTTAGTCGATTCCAACAGACAGCCCAGCCTCATCTTTCTCCTCTAAAGAGGCTGGGGGATTTGAAACTCCAACTTTGTGGTTAGCATTCCAAGGCTTACAGAGTAAAGGTCAAGTCAACAGACTCACTAATTCACTGCCATCGAGTTGATTCTGACTCACAGCAACCGTATAGGACACGATAGAACTCTCCTGGTAGGTTTCTGAGACTGTAACTCTTTGCAAGACTAAAAAGCCTCCTCTCTCTCCCCAGGAGCAGCTGGTGGTTTCAAACTGCTGGTCTTGTGCTTAGCAGCCCAGCGAGTAACCCCTATGCCACCAGGGCTCCTTAACTGTGATCCAAAACAATTTGTAAAGATAGTGGTCATTACTGTGCAATATGGGACACGCCCTTCCTATCACTGACTTCTACACGTAAAAATGGTTGAAAGGTTTGGTCCCATGATTTTCACTATGGAAAAAAAGAAAGAATTCTTTTTTAAAAAATCATGATGAGCAAAATATCCCATTTTAAAGCCGAACCGGGATCTGGGAGGGTGAGATTTCGATGAGGTAAGCAAGACCAAATTGGGCCAGGGCAAAGTCAGACTCTGTCCTTCTCTTAAAAAGTTAAAATCTCGCTCACCCCAGTTTCTGGCCCTGTTTTTGTTTTTTAAGAATACTGTTTAAGGAATGACTGGTCTGGGCTCCTGAGTTTGGGGGCACCCCTCAAATTTTACACCCACAGCAAAGCAAGGGTCTACTTCTCCTCCGCTGGTCCTGGCCCTGTTGCTAAGATGTCATTTTGTAAAGCTGGGAGTCAGTGCTGCCAATGGACATGAAGGGCATGGTGAGCCGGCTCCTGGAACTGCCTGGGCAGTCCTGGCAGAGACAGAAGAGAAATCAAGTTCTCTTAATAATTGTTGTTCTTGGCCTCCTGGTTTCTTCTGTGTCCCTGTCTTCTGTGTTTCAACAGCTCAGCGTTGTTTCCTAATCGGATCTTTGCAAGGGAACAGACCTGAAGGGCTAGGATCCAGGCTGGGAGAGGCGGGTTGCTAATGCACCTCCCTCTCCACAGGAAACAACTTCAAGGAAGAAGCTGCAGCGCTGCTCTGCCAAGCCCTCTCTGTAAGAACAGGGCCTGCAGCGGAGCCCCCACTCCCCCAGGGTGGGGGGAGGCTGTCCCCGGGAGGCCTGGGGCGGGTCTTCAGGGCTGCTGTGGACACAGTGAAGTGAAGGCCACCGGCATGGTTCTGGGGAGCTGGTTTGGGTTTGGACCTGCTGCTCTGTCACAGGCAGCGATGCATAGTGGGTGTTTGGATGGCACCAAGCCCTCCTGGCGGCCAGCAACCGTTGCACAAATAGTGAAAAGGGGGTTGGAAATTGCCTTCAGTCTGAGCACCGTCGGCACTCATGGACTTTCAGGTGCGCGGGAGCCCTTCCTGGTCCTCCTGAGATAAGCGAGATTTTTCCAGGCAGAAGAGAACAAGGACCTCTCATTCCACTGTTCTCTTTCCCCAGTCCAATTACCGAATTAAGAAACTGGATCTGAGCCACAACCAGTTCTCTGACAAGGGAGGCGAGCAGATGGGACAGATGCTGGGTAACTACCCCCACCCCACACTCCCCAGACGCAGGGCCAGTGCCCCAGAGGGGCTAGGGGCGGGTCCCCTGTCAGAGAGGCTGCTTCTCTTCCTCCACCTATGATTACCGAACGTTCAGATCCTGGAAGAGGTGAGAATGGCCCCCTAAGCACACCCTAAGCAGGCTTCACGCCTGGAAGCAGGATGTTACATTTTAAATGGATGACAAGACAGTACAGGCAAAGTGCTAGGCTTGACCTCGGAAGGCCCGGGTGGTGAGACGCAGCACGAAGCCCAACCCCACCGCCATTGTGTCGACTCCAACGCATGGGCACCCATTCCACGGGCATCCTCTCCACGAGGGGGGTCCCTGAGTGGCCCCCATGCTGAAGCGGTCAACTGCTAGCCCAAAGGCTGGTGGTTTGAATCCGCCCAAAGGCACTCCGAAGGGTCACCGCCTCCGAAACCCTACAGCGCACAGTTCTCTGTCCACACGGAGCGGCCGTGAGTGGGCATATGCCAGGCCCTTCTTCTGAGGCAGTGTTGGGTAAGTTGGAAGCACCGTTAGGCTGGCAGTTGAGGGTAAACAGAATGTGCCATGCAGACCTTCAATGCAGCACGGTCAGCATCAACGAAGATGAAAATGAAAGATACATTTTCCAACAATGAATCATAAACTCGTATGTGTTAGTGTGGGTGGACTAGAGAAACAAATTCACAACCACGCAGATATATAAGAAAGAGTTGTATATATAAGAGGAATTGAATATTGAGAAAACATCCCAACCCAGTCCAGATCAAGTCCCTAAGTCTGATATTATTAGCCCATGTGTCTGACACCAATCTGTAAAGTCCTCCTCTGACTCACACAACACATGCAATGATGCCTAATGCAGGGCGATCACAGGCCAGTGGGTAGAAAGTCTTGGGATCCAGTGGCGGGGTAAGCATCTCGGCACCGGCAGGGGTCTCCACGTGGCTTCTCCAGCACCCAGGGCTGCATTAGGGTAGGTCCTTGTGGCTTCTCTTCAGGGATGTCTCGCAGGGAGTCAGCCTTGTCAGTGGAGTGTCTCACAGGGAGTGAGCAGAGTGAGCAAGTGTCTCCCGCCCCCAAGGAGGAAATACCAGAGTTTTCCCAGAATCCTCAGGGGAAGGCCATGCCCACAGAGGCCACATGGGCTGTGACCCGATTGACAGACCAGACACCACCCCTTCACTCTTCATCCTCTCAAATTGACACCAGATTATGTAACTACCATATCGTGGATGATAAAAGATGCATAGACAAGGACAAGCAACCGAAGGGAGAGGATATTTGCAACCTTTGCATGCATTGAAAAGTCGTGTTCCAAAATGTTGATTTTTTTAAATGCTAGACATCAATTTTGGGAGAACGATGAGGCTTCCCACTCTCTTAAAGAGTGAACCGTCTCAGAGACCCACAGAGGCAGTTCCGCTCCGTCCTCTGAGGTTGCTCTCAGTCGGAACCGACTGGCTGGCAGTGCGTTTGGCGTGGTTTTCATGTATAGATCCATGAAAGGAGACGCGGTGGCCAAGGAAAAGGCGAGCACTGGGCTGCTGGCCACAGGTCAGCAGCTGGAAGCCCCAGCCCAGCCACTCGGAGGGAGGAAACAAAGTCGAGTATTATGATAAAGGTGCTGCACCCTAAAGCTAGAGAGTCAAAAGGGGAGCAACACCCTCAGCATGTTCAAGATGAAAGAATGAAAGACGACCACTCAAGCCTCAAGTTGAACTCCTGAAGAATCCCGGGGGCAAAATACCGAACTAGCCAGGCAGCTTCTAAAGAAGGAGGAAGAGCCAATGGTCTTGGAGGAAGAAATCCAAGCCGCACTGAAGGCGTTAGAGAACAACGATGACCCAGGAATAGACTGAAGGCCAATTGAAATGTTCCACGAGCCGACAAAGCATTCACACGTCTGTGCCAAGAGGTTTGGAAGCCAGCTACACAGCCAACCAACGAGAAGAGACTCCTGCCAGTGCCCAGGACAAACAAAGGCGACCCAGCAGAAAGTGGAAATGATCGAATGGTATCGTTAATAGGACAGACAAGTGAAAGTGCTGAATGTAATTCAACAGCGGTTGCCGCGGTCCACCGACAGGGAGCTGCCAAAATTCCAAGCTGCGTACCGAAGAAGATGTGGACTGAGTGGCTGTAGACATCGCCGTCACTGTGAGGGCGGTGCAGGACCGGCAGTGGGTCACTTTGTACGTGGGTCTGGATGAGCTTGGACCCGACTGGATGACACCAAATAATAATAAGAAGACCCTGTCAGGTGGGTATTGATGGGGCTCAACCCTTAAACCTGAAAAGCTACGTTGAAATGGATGTGGAGTCTCAATGGCAAACAAGTTCGTTTCAAACCAACAAAAAACTTAGCAAAGAAAAGCAGGCGGCACGCCCACAGGAAACACAGGGGGGCGGGGGGCTGAGTGATGGTATGTGCAGGGGGTGGCGATGGGCCGGTGGCATCAGAGTGTGCATTTGAACTCAGGGATGCTTTGGGACATCAGGGGTGCTAAGATGACTCCCCCTCCGTCCAGCCCTCAACATAGGGCTCCAGGTGCTGGATCTGAGCTGGAATGAAATCCACACACGGGGCACTGTGGCATTGTGCAATGGTCTCCGGGTAAGGCACCCTTGGAAGTGGAAGCTTGCACCCCAGTGGGGATGGCCAGGGCACCGTGGTGTGTGCCATCTGGAATCCGCGTCAATTGGACATCCCCCCACAGGAGAGTGACAAGGAAGGGACCTCATGGGCCCCTTGGGGAGGGCATGCTGAGCTCTCATCACCTGTGGAGCAGGTTGTTGGTCTCCCTTTCCCAATCTCAGAGGGCACTCTACTGTTTAGTATAAATCCTATCCAGGTAGATTAACCTTGCTGGGGCCTGGGTGGTGGCATCCTAGGGGATAAGGAATGCCCAGCAAAAAGGGGATCCCTGTCCTCGGGCTCTGAGTGCAGCTGGGAGGCAGCTGGAAAGATCTGACCGGCTGCCTCTCCCAGAGAGTGCCCAGTCTGGGCACCAGCAGGGGGCAGAAGTCGGGCCAGTGTGGATGGAGAAGCCACATGCAACTTTAATGCCAGCGCTGTTCTCCCCTCTCTCTGGAGGCCAATGTGACCCTGAGGATACTGGACCTCTCCATGAATGGATTTGGCAATGAAGGGGCTCAGGCCCTAGGGGAGGTCATCCGGCTCAACAGCTCCCTGATCTACATCGATGTCAGCAGCAATGACATCTCCAACGATGGAGCGTCCAAGATCAGCAGAGGACTGGAGTTCAACGAAACCCTCAGTGTCCTGAAGGTAGTCTTTCGTACGTGTGCATGAGAGTGTGCGCGTACATGCATACGTGTTGGAGTGGAGACGGTGTCGTGGTGACATCATCTGGTGCCAACTTGAGACTATTAAGAGCGAAGGGGTGGAGTCTAGCCTGTCCATCAGGTCACTGCTTGATGACCTCATTTGGAGGCGCTACAGAGATAAATAGCTCACTGGAGGCGGGACACACACACACTCTGGTTGGTATTCCTGCTGACAAGACACGGGGAGCTACACTAGAGCCCTGGAGCTGGATGAGCCAGGTGGAGACCCACACCGGAGCGGAGATGCTTCCACTGCCACTGGATCCACAAGACTTTCCACCCACTGGCCTGTGATCTTCCTGCATTTGGCGTCATTGCATGTGTTGTGTGAGTCAGAAGAGGGCTTTACAGACTGGTATTAGACATATGGGCTAATAACGGACGTATGGACTTGATCTGGACTGAGCTGGGATGTTTTCTCAATAGTCAATGGCTCTTGAATATAAACCTCTTTCTTGACACATAGGAGTCTCCCTAAATTTGTTTCTCTAGTCTACCCGGACTAACACAGACAGCAAGGTGATTTTGCCGGATATTGATTGAAGAAGGACTCCTCAGAGAATCGGTCTCATTCTTTCTATATGTCTATATTCTCAACTCCCTGCTGTTCACTCAAGGTCACCATCTCCTAGCTGGTCTTCCTTCCCCCATCAGGGCCACCTGAAGCCAGGGCACCTGTGTGAACCCAAATCTGACCCTGCCTCTCCCTCCATCTTCCAGCCTTAAGCTTCCCATTACTGCTGCTGTTTCTGTTCAAGTCCAGTTCTCTGGATGCCGCTTCAGCCTCCGTTTACCCCAGGCTTTCCCTGATCTCTTCATCTCCTCCTTCCTACCACTGTCTTTAGCCCACTGTGGCCTCAGCCCAGGCTGCTTCCTCTTCCAGCACTCCCTCTACTGTCTGCTCTACGCTGTCAGAACGCAGCTCCCACAGCTATGCTGCGGGGTCCCTCTGGAGTCCCCTGGGCTAGGCTTTCTGCTCAGGCAGACCTTCCTGCACTTTCTAAGGGCCCTCACTGAGTGATGTCAAACCTCGCCCCATCGTGTGAAAGCTTCATAAGAACAAAAAGACTCTGCTTGGTTTTTCCCTTTATTATATACCACTGGCACCTAGCAGGAGCCCTGGAGGCATAGCAGGTGACACATCAAGCCGTTAACTACAAGGCTGGGAGTTCAAAACCACCAGTCACTCGGAGGGAAGAGGATGAGGCTTTTTAGTCCTATACAAATTTACAGACTCAGAAAACCTCAGCGGCAGTTCTACCCTGTCCTGTAGGGTTGTGCTTGGTCCGCATCGACTTGGTGGCCGTGAGAAGCACTTAGCAGGCGGCTGAAAGACCAAACTTGACGCCTAATCATAGTGACTCAATAGGACAGAGTAGAACTGCCCCTGTGTGTCCTACTGTAACTTTACGGGGTTAGAAAGCCCTGTTTCTCCCTCAGAGCAGCTGGTGGTTTCAAACTGTGACCCTTTGGATTACAGTCCAACTTGTAACCACTGCTGGACATCGGAGGGGCTTTAAAACAATGGGAGCATTCCATTGTCTTTTAATTCCATTTTTCCTTGGACATTTTGTAGCTTTCTCATATCGTTGATGCCAAAAAAACAAACAAACCCAACTGCCCTCCCGTCCATTCCCACAGTGGCCTGTAGGCCAGAGTAGGACTGCCCTGGTGGACTTCTGAGGCTGGACATTTTATTTTAATCAAATGTCCTTTCATTCCATCGAAGACAACATGAAACATACTGTAACAGGAACACACAGTCGCTGTGCCGAAGGATTCAACGTGCATACAAACCGGAAGGCAGAAGTTAAACACGGAGTCCTGCCAGTATTTTTGAACTTTAGAGAAACAGCATACCAGAAACGTACAATTCCAATATTAGCCCATCTGAAAACTTTACTTTCCATAATACAAAAATGATACTCTGGTTTGCAAAATATTAATTTTTTTTACTAAATCAACTACATAAATATTTTAAATAATCAAAACTCAACATTAGAATTTATAAAGATGAGCTATAAAAATATAAAGGCAGTCACTTCTATAAAGGTACCATTCACTTCATTACAAGAGTCTCTAATATAAAATTGCACTAAAAACTATACTATCCTTGGACTCTGATAAATCCTACATTAAATTAGTTATGAAATCCTCCTGAAAAAACTCTGGTAAGCATGTTCAGAAAGTTGTTGTTTCTTTATCCCCGAACATTTTAAGGGCCTGTAAACATCCCATTCTATTGTAGCACAACAGAATAAGTAATGGATAATTCAACTGCGTAGAGAATATAAAATCAAAACACTATTTCTTATATATTTGTAGAAAATCACCATTTCTAAAATAATCAAAGACAACTTAAAACCATCAAACTTTTAAGTCATTAATACTACCAAACTTTTAAGTAGTTCTCTTTGCATTCTAATGAAAAACTTACAAAATCACAACTCCATTCATGTACCTTCTGTGCCTTTTAGGACAAGGCCTCAAAAATAATTACCCTAAAAATTATTATTATTATTATTATTTTTATTATTATTACCCTAGGCTCAAAAGCACTCTAAAAGAAACCCACTCTCAAGTCCAATAAACTTTAATGACCCATTTACAAGGCCTGGCCATAGAATAAGTATACGTGATCAGAATGCATACTTTACACACTTACTTACACACTGATTTTTCTGGTGCATTGATAAGTTGAAGTTATGAGCAGAAACAAGGACTTGGACACACTCATTCCTCAAAAGGTGAATTCAAAGAAACAGTAAGAAAAGCAAACCTTGAGGGTAAATGTATTCATGTTTTTAAAAAGTCAGTTCACCCAATCTTCATTTTGGCTGCTATTGTGGTAGTTCTGACTTGTTAATGCAGACAATTCGGACTGCGGAAAGTTCATGGCCTGCGCCTGAGTCTGCTCACTTTTCACCGAGCTTCTAATTAAGACAGAAGCCTCCTGGAGGTCATTTCCCCTTTATCCTCTCTCACCTGAGTTCTTGTAGAAGATACTGATCTCTAAGTTGCAAAAGCCTAGATAAAAAGCTTCATTTTCTACCTTTTGCAACACTCCATTAAATTAAAAAGAAATCTACCTGATTTTTAGGCAAGTCCATATGTATGCATATATATGTATGTATGTATATATATATATATATATATATATATATATATATATATTTTTTTTTTTGGTCACACTCTTATCTGCATAAAGATCCTTCAGCGTTTTTTGCTCTTCTGCTTGAGTTGGAGTTTGATTTCCCAGGACAGCACTCGATTTCCCGGCATCTGACCTGTTCTTTCTTCTCTCTGCAACACTCTTTTCCATCCGGCTTATTTCTCTTTTCAACGGGGTTCGTCTATCTTTGCTGTCTGAGATGTAAGGGTCGCAGGCGCTGTTATCCCACCGTTTGGGGTAGTGATGCGGCTGTCAGGGAGGTCCGGAAGTGGTCTGTCTGCGTGTCTCCTGAAGCAATCGGTATAAACACTTGGTTGCTGAGCAAAGTGCCCGCTGTCCCTCAGAGGCCTGCACATACTGGGGCCTGGTTGTGCCTTGCTGAGAACGGCCGGAATTTGTCCTGGTTCGTGTCTGAAGCCCCTGTACTCCCCCTGTGCCTGTCCTGGCCCGCTGTAAGGCTCCACGTGGGCAATGACAGTGCCCTGTCCAGTGCGAGTCTGAGAGATGGGAGTTGGAAGAGACATCGCAAGGACAGTAGAAACTCCAGGGCTTTTCTGCCCCATGTAACTTCCGAAGAGAAGTCTTTCAAATGTTTCCTATAAGACGGCGCTGTGCTGGGCTGCCTCTGCTGTCAGATGGGCCCTGAGACGCCTCACTTTCTGAGAAGGAGGAAGCTTGTTCCGCAATAGGAGTGGTGTGTGCCCGGAGCTGCTCAGTTGGATTGACCTGCTGTCTCGGAGGTGTTGCTCTTCCGGAGACCTTCCATACTGTGGCCATCACCACCTCCCTGCTGTCTGGGGCAGGAACTGCACGCTCCCCCTTCCCACGGAAGATCCCAGTTCTCTGCCCACTTCCCCACCCCCTCACACCACCAGGGGATGTGCCTCTCTCTCAGGGCTGGCTGGACAGGGGGCAGTGTCAAGTAACACCACCTGCTGTCCTAGGGTACATGGCCTCATTTAACAACCACCCACACCCCACCACCACACACACACACACACACACACACACACACACACACACACTAGTGGCTTGATCTACTCTAGGCCGTGTAGAGGCTGTAAATCTGTAAAGGAGCAGAAAGCCTCATTTTTCTCCCATGGAGCAGATAGTGGGTTTGAACCGCTGACCCTGCCATTCACAACCCAACACGTAAGCCACGACACCACCAGGGTACCTGACTCGGTGCCTAGTGCATATTTATTAAATGCCCAGTGAATATTTGTTAAATATTAAATATGAGCATGGGCCTGTCTCATGGTAAATTCATTCGCTTTGTGGTGCTGGTTACTCATAAAGCGGCTTCCGGGCAGCTGGGAAACAGAGGCAGGCTCGATAAGGACTTCAGTGAATAGTCCTCCTTTCCGGGGGCGCCTACCATTTGCCTCTTGATTCACGGCCCAAGCCCACAGAGTGGGTTCTGTCAGCGGCACTTGTCTGATGAGAAAGCAGGCTAGGACTTGCTTGGGTCACACAATAAGTAAGAGGCGGAAGGAAGCCAGCTCAACCTGACTTGCTCTGACATCCTGTCCCCTCAGGTGGGAAGGACTCCGGGGATCCCAGACAAGGGCACTTGGTAGAAGAAGAAGAGAGTTCGTAGTTCGTAAAGACGAGCCAGCTGTCAGAGAGGACAGCCACCTTGGAATTGGCAAGGTGACAGGATGGAATTGTGTTCTGGCTGGTGGACAGAACACAGTGACCAACTCAGACCAGCCCACCATCTGATGGCCAGGGGCCCTGGAGAATTCCAGCCTGGGTGGATGGGGCCAGGCATAACTCAGAGAAGAGAGACTAGCCCCGGCTAGGAGTGGTTTGCCCTCAGTGGCCAGTAAAGCCAAGATTTTTGTTTTTGTTTCATTTAATTCCCCCACACACACACTATTTTTTTTTTTGCTTGTTTGTTGAGATGAACTTGTTTGTCACTGAAGGCTCCAAGTGTCTTTCAATTTTACTTTTCCTCTTTTTTTTTAAGCCACTCAAATCACCGTGTAGGCTTGAGGGATCAGGACGCCAGAGGGTTTTTTGGGGTTTTTTTAAGAAACATACTATGTATACATTACGAAGTTCATCTCAAGAAATGGAATCAGTAACAATCTCCTGTTAAATCCTCCACTTTTTTCACTTTTTAAATTCCCTTCTCTGGAGAATCCACACAGTAGGACTCAGACACTGGCCCGACAGGCGTTCAGTGGCGGATGTGTTTTGCAAGTTGTGGGGCCTTGCCCCTCCTTCCCAGACTCGCCCTCCGTGCCTAGCAGGTGCTAACTGCTCCTCCCCTTCCTCTCTCATCTTTCCCGTGGTCGTCATCATGTGGTCTATTAGATCCTGTTTGCTCATCCTCCAAAGAGCACAGTGCTCACGGCAGGCTTTCTTTGATTTCTAACAGTTTTGTTAGCATGTCATTCACATATCTTACAATGTGGTCCTTCCGTCACATCTAGAAGAGTTGTACAATCATCACCACAGTTGGTTTTAGAACACCTTATTTGTTCTTGTTCTCACTGTGATTAGCTCCCCATTCTCCCCCTCTCTTCCCCCACCCAGTTTCCCCTGCCAGACCCCTGGGAAACCATTCATCCAGTTACTCTCTCCGGAGATTGACCTATCCTGGATTTCCTATACAGTAAAAACCAAAAACTAGCAACAACAATAACAAAGTGAAACATAAAACCTTCACGTGTATTTTCCCCTCGCCCTTTTTTTTTTCATGGAAACAACTTTAAAATGGGTCAAAATGGCTATCGCATGATAAGATACGGCAATGTAACTGAATTATGTCTGCCATCATCAGCTTGATGCTCTGGGCAGCAGGCACCAAGTGGTTGGGAAGGCGGTGCTAGGCCGAGAAGCGAGTCAGCAGAGCCACGGGATTCCATGTCCCCTGGGGTTCCAGCCCTTGGCAGCTCCAGCACTGCAGGAACAACTTCCTAATCCCCAGCTTGGGCCTCATTCTCTCTGCTCCTGCCTCACAGATTATCTGCCGGCTGCCCCAATGCCTCCGGATGTTTCCTCCTGTGCAGCCCTCTTCTCAGGGATGTCTTAGTCTCGCCTCTGACATGCTCCGCCCACCCCACACCCCTCCCTTCTTTAGACCTGATCAATCCCCTGAGTCCCCCAAGGCTTAACTTACACAGCTCTCCCCCCCCTGTGCTGGGTGCCCCTTTCCTTGCTTCCATTGTGACCCAGGTGTACCCCGTACTGCTATGGTCACACTTCTGACACCTTTGCTTCTGCTACAATGTACGCCATCTGAATGCAAGACCTTCTGACTGTCTGTGAGCCCCAGGGCTTTCACCCAGTGGTGGGCACCTGGCAGGCCCCACTTGTGTTTGCTAGATGAATGAGCAGTGAGGTAGGTGGGTGGGTAGATGGATGGATGGAAGAACGAACAGGGAGCTAAGAGCTTACAGAGACGTCTGGAAGGCAGGCAGCGATGGTGGTCTGGTGGGGGAGAAGAAGCCATGGTCTGAGCAACCTCCCCCTGTCTCGTCTCTCCTCCCGCAGCTTTTTCTGAACCCCCTGAGCATGGAGGGAGCTGTGTTTCTCATCTTGGCCATCAAGAAGAACCCCAAGTCCAGGATGGAGGAGCTCGACATTTCCGTACGTCACCAAAGGCAGAAAGTGGCACCGTGTCATGGCCCCCGCAGCCTGCCAGGGCTAGCACCCTGCCCGCCCCCAGGCCCGCCCACCAGCACTCCGTGAGAAAGCTGCTCTTCGGGGCACTACTCTGCCTTCTCCAGGGTCCTGTTGCTAGAGAGAGCTACTTAGTTAAAAACGTGGCAGTGTGAGCCAACGGAACAGGTCCCAAGACACGAACCCCCTCTGGGGATGGGTCTGAGGAGACAGAACAGCAGGAGGGCCCCGAAAGATGAGTCAATGCAGCCACCTGCGGTCCCCAATCCTTTCGGAATCACGAGATTTTTGAAGTGCCAGAGCAGACACCTTCTTGTGTTTCCCTTTCATCACTTGGCCTATGGTACTCAGAACAGCATGGGAGGGTGACAAAGCCTTAACCTTGATGAAGGGGGGACGCCAAGGGGGGGAGGTCAGGCTACTGCCAGGGACTTGCTTCCTGGGCCTTAAGTGACCACAGAGGTAGAAGCTGGTGATGACTATGCCCTACACATCCCCCACCCCGTCGGGGATGTCATGCCCGTCTGCTCATTGGAGCTCTGCACTCGGAAAGGCAGGCCCCGCCCTGCTCCTCATTTCTCCATAAGAGGAAACAAGCAGAGAGGTTAGGGACTTAGGTGCCCAGCGGACAGGGAGTGGACCCAGGGCTCCTCCTGGGCAGAGTTCCCCAACCAGGCAGTGTCCCGGCCCTCCTGCAGGGTTTTGCCCAGACAAATAGGATGCTTGTGCTTCTTATAGTTTGGATTTTGTAATTTTAATAGTTTGGTTGACAAGATACTTCCCATCTCACGCAGTTCGATAGTCTAAACATATTAAAAAGGGGTTGTGCAGTCATCCCTACGGTCCATTGAGACAAATAGGAAGTTTGGTTGAAAAGACTTTACTGCCTGGCGATTTCGGTGGTGTTTTGAAGACTTGACCTCAAGCTCCCTGAAGCGGAACCAGAAGTGAAATGTGCGTCTAGACCAGACGGCTCACAGAGTTCACGGAACGCGGAATGAGAAGATGATGGGATTTTTCACACCGACTTAAAAAACGTGTTTTTAATGGGCGAATTTTGTTTCAAGAAAGCTATGATCGCCAAAGAAAAACAACTGAGTCCCCTCTAGGTCCTGGCTGAGGACAGAAGTAGCCGTCTGCCAGGACATAGAGGTCCACACCGACCTGTAGCACACTTCGTCCAGACTGCATGGCTGGCTTGAGGAATTTCTAGATCACAGCGGTAACGTGCACTTGAGTTTCAAGTGGTGTGGGCACCAGCTGCGATTCTATGCAGTCCGAGAGACTGGTCACACCTCCTAGCTCCTATCCCAAGCCCCAGCCGAGTGGGTGAGTGCCCCTTTGCGGAGTCACCCCGAAACCCCCTTTAAATAATTGCGTCTCGTTGGGAGGAGAGCCAGCTTGAAGCAGTGGGGTCTCCGGTCTGACTTGCTACAGTCGTGGGCGCTGTAGGCTTTGTGGCCTGCTCCCTCGTGTGACCCACTAAGACAGTCGGTCATTCCAGGCCACCCGCCAATCCCACATAAAAGCCGAGTAAGAAGATGGGTGACAAGATGGTTAGGAATGTTCGTGAAGATGCTTCTGCATAAAGGCCCAGGCCCAGGAGCCAGCAACAGGCCCCGTGTCCTGCACTGGCCCCTCCTCTTCTGTGGCAAAGGGCGTGGCGAACCAGGGCCAAGTGGAGGCAGCGGGGCATGGGAGGCACCTGTACTGCTCTTGCTATCCAGCCCCGAAGGGCAAGTGTCCAAGCACTCCCTCATCATCTCTGGGCTAGCCCCCACCAAGTTGCACGACCTTTCTGAAGCCCTCCCGTATTCGAAAGCCTGACGGAAAACGCCTGCTTTTCACACAACTTTGTGCCTCCTCTACCCGGACCTTGTGTTTTCTCCTCTGAGAGCCTCTCTCCACCTCCCTCCCCCGGGTCCACCCTGCCTCTGAGCCTCAGTCTGGGGGCAGTGGTTTCTTTCCCTGCAGGGCAGGCTGGCTGCTCAGACCAGACACTGCCTTGGGGCGCTTGGGGACACTCTGAAGTGGTGCTGTGTCGACACTAGATGGCGTATGAACCCTGAGCTATGATCACACTGCCACACAGCAGGCCCATCTGCAGAAGGAGGTCTGGATTGGCTTCTTCCCTTTTGTCAAGGGCTCTGCCGCCGCCCTACCTGGCTCTCTAGAGCCGGTTCTCTACAACATCGACAGGGGAGTAGGACTTCAGCCCTTAAGCCTGGATATTTCTCTGAGAAGCCAAACGCTACCCAGAGGGACCTCCAAGGGAGGAAGCCCGTGGACGAGGTTAGTTGAGCCAGGGGTTATCAGGCTGTCACAGAGTCTGCTCTTCCTGGGACCTGTAAGCCAGCTTGGAGGACACTTCCAAAAGAGGACTTCCCAGTTCATGCTGGGCCACAGCGGGATGGTTGGAATAGGCTGCCACCTCCCCCAGAGCCCTTGCTCTGAAGACCAGCACTCACGTGGTGTCAGCAGGTTTGTCAAAGTTACAGCCTGTCTGTGGCCACCTGAGGAAGAACAGAGCTGAGCTGACCGTGTGCCACAGGGTCACCAGATGAGTACATCTGCCCCAAAGCATGCCCAGAGCTGCCAAGTCAAATCATACCCCCCCCCACCCCCACCCAGCAAACTCAAAGAGAAGGAATACTCAGACTCTGGCTGGGGTGGAAGCCCCCCACGCCCACCCCTGGGAGCAGCGGGAAGGTGGAACAGTGGCAGGAGCAGGACCCTTCCCGTGACAGCTCCCCTCCCTCCCCACCGCAGAATGTGCAGGTATCTGAGCAGTTCGTGAGAACCCTGGACGGGGTGTATGCCATTCACCCCCAGCTGGACGTGATCTACAAGTCAGTGCAAGGCCTCTCCGCCAAGAAAACTGCCTACCTGTGGACAAACCCCATGAAGCTGATCCAGGTGAGCCTCTACCTTCCTCTCCCAGCCCCCAGGCCTCCTGCTGAGAGTTGACCTGTGACACCCCATCGGCCACCCAGAGCGCCCCTCCACCCAGACTTCTCCACTCCATGAGGAGAAGAGCTGAAAACTGGTTGGTTCAGGGGGTCTGCAACAGCCCCCCACCCTGCCCTCCACCCCACCCCCCTGGCTCCACCACATACCAAATGTACCACCTACCAAAGGCAAGGCGCCGGAGCAGACAGTGCCCCCGTGTACAATTTTGTTACCTGCAAGATGTCATGGGCTCAGTTCTGGCCCACGGCACCTCAGTGCAACAGAGTAGAACTCCCATTGGGTCCCCTAAGCTGGGATCCGTACAGAAAGGAGCCCTGCAGGCTTGGTGGCTAAGGGCTCAACTACTCACTGGAAGGTGGGTAGTTCAAGCCCACCAGCCCCTCCATGGGAGAAAGATGAGGTGGTCAGTCTCTGTGAAGGCAACAACCCCAGAAAGGATTGTACTGTGTCGTAGGGTGCCAGCCTGTGTCAGAATGGACTGGGGGGCGGGTGGGGGAGGGGAGGCTAGTTGGTTGGGATCTTGACAAAAGTGGGTTCCCAGGCCTTTCTCCCGAGGAGACACAGGCAGCTTTGAACCACCAGCCTTTGGGTTAAGCAGCCAAGCACTGAACCACTGCACCACCAGGGTTCATGGTCAGCAACCTGTACACGCAAGCTCTTCCCAACCCTGGGCTAGGACTCCTGGACACTCCTAGGGTTGAGCTAGGTGTTTGGTGGCTGCAGCTAATGAGGGTACCTGAGTCCTGCGTTGCCTAGGTAACTTGGACCTGGCTAGCATCTTTGGCTGGGTGGTTTCTGTGAGTGGTGGGAGGCAGAAGCAAGAATGAGGATAATGAACCAGAGAGCACTAGAGCTGAAAGGGCTGTCCCAGCGCTTCCAGGATGACCACCTTCACCTGGGAGAGCAGCTCACAGCTCCCCACCCCCACCCCGGGCTGCAGACCAGGAATGGGGAGTTTGCTGTGAGAATGCTGATTTGATTCGGCAGGTCTGGGCCTCTGAGTCAGCTCCCTGCTCCGACCACCCAACTCTATGCCTCCGGTTCCAGGGCCAGAGAGAGGAGCCCCTGCAGGTTGTGTGTGCTAAGTTCTAGAAGGCCAAGGAATATCCAGGGTTTTTAATAAGTAAGAGAACATCATCTGGAAGCAAGCGGGAAACTTGTTTATAAGACACCCAAAACTGTTGCCAAAATGGCTGCTTCTGCCACAGCCAGGAACCGCCCACCGGCACGGCTCCCCAAGCCCACACTCTGCGGCCCAGACTCTCTCCAAGCCTCACACCTGTGTCTCACACACTGCTTGGCCAGTCCCATCTCATGCCAACCCCCAGTAGCGAGGGTCCAGCCCCCACTGGGAGGAAGGAGAGAGGGGTTGAGGGCTCCCTCACAGGGTACCCCACAGCACCCAGCACACCTTGTAGAGCCGAGCTGAATCAGGCTCGCTTTGGATAGGCTGGATGGTGATATCACTGCACTGCCGGCATGGGCGGTCAGCTGGTGGTCAGGAAGAAGAGCTGGACACGTAGGTTTGGGGTCATCCCAGAAGGGTGAGAGTCAATATGCAAGGGTGGGGGGAAAGAGCAGAGGCCCTGGGGCTAACCCCTGGCAGTTCCATGTGAGCAGGGCATCTACGGGGAACTTCCGGTGGCTCAGCTGCTAACCGAAGTGCCACCAGAGACTCTGGGGGAGAAACGTGCTGGGGGGCGGTAATGTGGAGCTAATAATAATGAGTAAAAAATAAAATGATCTACTATGGATTATGGGGATGATTACACAACTCTTTAAATAATATATTCAAACCATTGAATTGTACGCCAAAATGAATTGTACGTCAATAAAACTGGTTTTTAAAAACACACACACAAGGAACAGATTGTGGTAGCAATTGTACAATTCTGCTCGATGCGATTAAACTATGGAACGATATGATACACGTATTAAAAATAACAATAAGTAAAGAGAAAGCAGAAGGACCATCAAGATGTGCAGCAAAGCTATACCCTGAGCCGGGCTGGGGTCTTCATACTACACAAGGGCTAGCGTACGGGAGACTCAAGTTTTCTTACGACCTCCTCAGCCTTTCTGGTCTGGGCGCTGGGGTGACCATTGGACAGGCAGTGGGAGTTGTTAGAGTCGTTGCAAGATCAAGGGTTTACTCCTGGCCTTTCCTTTTCTCAGAGCTACGCGGACCAGCAAAAGATCACCATCCTGGACTTTTTCAAGACTTTGAGCCCCTCTGGAGCGGTGAAGATGTCAGTGGGGCAGTTCAGGAAGATGATGCTGCAGGTATGTTGGTCCTTCTGTGCTTGGGCGGGGGTCCTGCTGTGCTTGGGCAGTGCATGTGAGAGAGGGAGAGAGAGTGCACGCCTCCAGGGACTGGCCGTATGGACAGCTCACCTCATTTATCTGGCCAGGAGGGAAGCCAGAAACCAGAGACACCCCTAGTTTGATGCCCCAAGATGCTACCTGAAGACATGCAGGCTTCCTTTCATAGGTCCTCCTCCCATGTGTTTACTGGGCAGGTAAGAAAGGGAGGGAGGCCACATCGCAAAGCCGCGGGTTTCCCACCTGTGGCCCGAGCATTGTTCCCTGCCCCACGTCCGGAGGCCCTGGAAAGGCACTCGTAAAGAGGGCCCTCAGAGAAGCCCCAGAAGAAAGCTGGACCCGCAGGAAGGGGACCCGGAAGGGGAAAGTCTGCCTGGGTCCAGACAAAGCTAGACTGACCACTCAGTGTCCATGCCCATGGGGAGGAGAGTCGGCCAGGGGAAGGGAACAGGAAGAGAGGATGAACCTCGCCAGGCCACCCACTTCACTGACCTCTGGTCTCCTTTGCCCTGAGTGATGGTCACAGAAGGGAGACCTTCTGGAATCGGGCAGGGACACAGGGGCAGGGCCTCATCCTGTTCCCTGTTCGGTCTCCTCTGGGCCCTTGGTTGTCAACCATGGTGCCAACTCATGCGAGGCACTCGTGTGTGTCCGTGAGAGCGAGGCCCACCAAAGAGCGGTTGGACAGAACGCCCCATTAACTGCACACGTTCCACTCCCTCCTCAGCAAAACAAGGTGCCGATGAACCGACACCAAATCCGGGAGCTGGTAAAGAAGCTGGATGAGAAGAGTACAGGCATGGTGAACCTCAGGTCAGCCCAGGCCCGCTAGCTGTCCCCCACCGATCTCCTGGCCATTCGGGCATGGTCTCTGTACAAAGGGCTTGGCTACGCCGGCCTGAGCTCATTAGGGCCTCCCCCAGCCCTGCGGCAAGTGGCTGCCTTCTCCGGGCTCCCACGTTGGGCCCCGATGGGTACTCACCTTCTCCTCTTGAATGCCCTCATTTAGCAGAACTAGTGAGCCCCAGCCATGTGCTGGACAGAGGGAGCCACAGCCCAGGACTCACGCCTGGGGGAGGGAGTCTTGGGAAGGCGGGCTGGTCATGTGCAACAATAGCCCAAAGAGGAGCCAACAGTTGGGTGGGAGGTGAGCTGTTTCGCCCGAGTCTGGCAGGGCAGACAGACCTAGACAAGAGGGGTGACTCCCCAGACAGAGGGCAGCAAGGACAAAGTCGTGAGTGTAGGCTGGCTTGGTGGCCTTGGAGACCTAAAGGCCATTGAGCTCTGCTGTGGTTTGGGAGGAGGTAACGTGGATGGCCTTGATGAGATGGAAAAGCCAGCAGAGCAGGAACCACAACAGCCAGCCCCCATGGTGCCCTCACATGTGGCAAGGGGTCTGCTGTCACCAGCAGGGGGACCCGACCCCGCAGCGCCCCATGATCACCCCTACTGGAATCCCCCCACTCGGCGGCGGCGGAGGACGCTGAGCTGTAGCACTGGAGTCCCGTCTCTGGAAAAGGGCAACACTGGTCATTGGCCCGGGTCCATGTGGCCCCACAGCCCACCCCTGTGCCTCCTTCCTGCCACCAGCTGTCTGACACCCTAGTACAGGCTGGAGGGGGCAGGGGTCTCCCACCAGGTCCCCCTGCCCTACATCCCTACTCCCCATACCTCTGCCTCTCTGGATGTCTTTCAGTGGAGGAGGCACAGACGGCCAAGGGCTAGTCATAGGAAGAGGCCCTGCCCTATTACTGCTAAGAGAAGTGTGGCTGTGAGCTTTCTGATCTGAGCCCCACGCCCTGTGTTGGCATGGGATCATGACGGTAGCACTCAAAAGGGTTAGTGACGGTCATGTGGGGCAAACACGTAAAGTGACAGGCACTTGTTGGGGTCCCTCAGGGTGACACTGCCATTCAGATAAAAGGGAGCCCCCCAAGCTACCCCCAACACCACTTTGTGCTGCTCAGGTGCCTCTTTCCTGTACCCCCTCCTGCCTACCTGAAAGTGGTACAGTGGTACAGGTGAGGCCGAGGAGCCTCCGTTCAAAGGCAGAACTGAGGCCGGGACCCCTAAATCTCAGATCTGGGCGGGCAGTTGGTATGGCCCCTACAGCGGCTGGCTGTCTGAAAGCAGGGGTCTCATTTGAACTGTGAGATTTATGCCAGAGTCGGTGTTGTTCCTTGTGGCTCCCAGGAGTCTCTGTTCATGAAAGGGTACAGCAAGGAGAAACATTGGAGGTCCCCTTCTCTCCCCCCACAGCCCGTGCTCCCTCCCCCAGGCGCTCACATGTGCTTTGTCGTACTTCTTCCCGTGCGCTTCAATCAAATGTGTCCGCGGGCGCATGTGCATGTGGGTGGAGAAGTGAGAAACGAAGCCAGAGAAGGATTGAAAACAAGGGCTAGAGTACAGAACCCCCAAATTCCCATCAAGCCTCCCCTGCTGAGGAGCCGTGGGCGGGTGGCCCAGCCTCCCAGGGCCAGCCGCCTCCTCTGTATGGTGGGGCTGACATAGCATCCACGACACTGAGCTGTTGGAGGGTTAAATGGGTTAATGCCCAGAAGGCATTTAGAACACCACGTAGCCAGCAGCAGGCTCACAGGACGTGTGTGTTTATTACCTACGAAGAGGCTCTGCGTGCATGCAAGTGCATGCATGTGTGTATAATCATAGGTAATAAGCACACACATACACACACACACACACACACATGCAGAGCCTCTTATCTACCGGCAGTGAGATCACACGGTCATGTTCCTCTGTAGCTTACCTGACCTTTCTGTGCTGGGTTCTGCTCTCTCTCAGTCTCTTACACGACTGTGTGGTGACCCTGGAAGGACAGCAGGGTTTCCTGAAATCTCAGTTAGGGATGTGCATGCCCTTTCTAAAGTGTGGGTTTCGACAACGCCATCTGAAAAGCTCCTCATAAATATTTGCACACACGTGACTGTTTCTCTAAACCAGGCCCCGAGGAATTGACCCATCGCATACTTTTGAAACTTACACTTTAAATCTAAAAGATTTTTTATTAAAAAAATATTTTTTAACTGTCCCCACAAAGACTCTCTTTTGCCAAGAGACCTTTAATGGAATGGTGCCCAGTGACTGTTATTGAGTATTTTAATCAGATATTTGTTAGCGAATCCTGATCAAAAGGGGAGAAACTACAGTACAGACATTCAGATTTTTGTAGAGTTAAGACTGCTGGAGCCAGGGGCTGGGTGACTCTCTTTCCCTGAGAGATAACCTTTAGAATAGAAATCAAAATGTCCCCAGATGTCTTATTAGATGCAAATAATATGGAAACCTGAATTGCTGTGTAAACTTTCACTTAAAACAAAATATTTGGAAAACAGAGCAAAACCAAATAATAATAGTTGAGCTAAATTAGTGAAGACAGTCTGCCTTGAGCATTGTGTTCTCTTAAGAACCATCCATATGGGATCGAGTGACAAGGGCAGCCCTCAAAAGTAGAGAGGAGGCTTACAGGGACAGAACGTGTGTTCTGCTAACAGGGCAGGGGCAGCTCAGGAAAGGTGGGTGGGGGCTTGAGAATGTGATCAGTAGGTGGGCTTGTTGCTGTGAACAGACTCAACGACAATACCATAACTCTAATGTCGTTTAATTGTAAATAATAAAATTATAAAACTTGCCAGAAGGAAAAACAAACAAGCAAACCCCTTTTAATTGTCCTTCCCAAAGGTCTAACCAGTTTCCACCTGTGCCCACTGTGTAAACCCCATACAACCGCACTCCAACCCCCACCACCACCACCACGCCCCGCAGAGGGACCCGGGCCCTAGTTCCACCCACTGCCAAGAGGCTGTAGAGGTTTATAGAAGTCTCGCGTGAATCTGAAGCTGTCTTCCTGTTCTGCATGGGTGCTCACGGTGACCCCCTTACCTTCCCAACAGTTCCCTGAAAACATAGCCACAGGTCTGGTCGGAAAGAAATCGCCACTGGACGCAAAAGGGAAGTCGGACGGCAGCTGGGAAAAAACGCTAAAAGTCGGCAGAAGCTTCCGGTGCACCGTTGCCAAGGCCAGGGCTGTGCGTGAGCAAATAAAGTCTGGCTTGGTTCTCGGCTCAGCAGGTGGCCCTTCCCGGGGGTGCTAGTGACCACTGGGGGGGGGGTTTCCTTCTGACCCTGTGGAGATCTGTAGGGTCAATTTGGGGTGCAGTGGGGTTGCTAGGCTGCCGGGCAAGAGCTGAGGGGAGAAGGTCCGGGGCAGCATCAGTTGCCAGAGTGATTGTAAACTGGGTCCAGGGGAGAGAATTCAGAGAGATGAGTGGCTGGGGGTCAAGGACCGGAGACTTCAGAGGCCAATGTCAAGGGCCGCAGGGCTGACCAGGGCTTCAGGCTGGGACCTTATTGGCTTCACCTGAAAGCCAGAGAGATTTAAAGGCAAATACCCCATCTAGTCTCAGAGCCTATCTTTCTCAATTCCTTGTTTAAGTCCTGTGGGGATTCGGGGAGAGACAAAGGTTTCAGCAAAAGCAGAAAAGGAATAGCTAAGACCAGGTGGGTAGGCGGAATCCCCCAGGGTTGTATTTTTGTTAAACCATCCGTGGCGCTCGCTCTCGGGAGCACAAACACTGGACGCGGAACAATAAATACCTGGTGAGTGGACCATCGTCGGCCTGGCACATTGTGTTGACAAGTGGTGGGGAACGATGGGGAAGTCTGGGAGAAGAGAGGAAGACCAGTATCCAAAAGCAGCTCTTGGGGCCCCAGGGGCAGTGTCTAGGGTTGGTGGGACCACCCTGTGGGTGCCACACTGCTTCACCGAAGGCAGGGCGGGAGGTGATTGTGAAGCCCCTGCACGTGTGGCAGGAGACGGATTTGAACGAATCTATGTCCCGCCCACATGTTCCCATTCTCTCTGTCCAGTATCTTCATCTCAGGGGGTAAGGCCAAGGTAGAAGGTTCCGACGAGTCAAGTCCTTCCACAGTCTCAGGGGTGTGGGAGTCCGTACACGTGGGAGTCTGCACATGTGGGAGTCTGCATGTCCCTCAGCCCATGGCCTGCGCCATCCGCTGTCTTTAAGCTTCCCACTCCCGGATGTTCCCTGGCCTATTGTCCTGCCTGAGTTTGGCCTTTGTGATGATTGGTGCTCGGTGGCAGGCAGCCGCCATGCTCATTGGACAACTCCGCCAGGCATCCAAGTGCACCTCATTTACATGTGGGCCATCCAAAAGCACCTCATTTACATGCGGACCTGTTTGAGGACTGATACCTGCCATTTCTTCCATATTGTAGCTGCATGATTATTGGATACTATTCGTTACACTTTATTAGCATATGATGTAATGTTACCTGCCCACCATACGGTATTTAAGCCCCTGCCTTCTGCTCAATAAATCGAGGCTTGATCAGACTCCTGTCTTGCCTCCATTTCTCACGTCTCTTGCCCCTCTTCATTCCCAGTCCCTCTTTCAGGTATCCACGTTGTTTAATGACCCGCGGGACGGGTCACAGGGGCACACCAAGGTCAATTTGGTACAATACATAATTCACAAAGACACTGTCCGACATCCTACTTTGGTGAGTGTGCTACCTCGGGTCTTCAAAACTCATGAACAGCCTTCGAGGTGCAACCATTGGTCTCCCCCCCACCCCACCCCCGTCCAGAGGGGGAAATGATGAGCATCGAAAGACCTATGGAAACGTTTAGAGTTCAGTGGACAGGTGGGCCCGTTGGAAACATCAGCCTCGGCGCCCACTACTGACTGATCCCAAAAGGATGGTCCTAGAGCGGGAAAGGAAACGAGTGGAACAAAACCCCAACTCATTAAAGAAACCAGGCTTACTGGTCGGAGAGAGACCAGAAAAGCCAAGGCTATGGGCCTCCGTCACCCTTCAGATCTGAAACTGGATTAGCATAGGCACCCCTGTGTTAGAACCATCAACCACAAGGTCAGCAGGGCAGCATTTTCCCGGGGACAAAGGCTAGGAGAGCAGGGTGGTGGGAAGAGGAAGCACAGGAAGTGGGAGAACCGATGTCCGCGGAGGGGTGGCGATGGGCACCTGGGAGCAGAATGCATGTGTGAGGTTGAGTGTGCAACTCACACCACAGCTTCCCCACACTCACAGCAAAAAGGAAGAAGAAAAACCTATCCAGGGGGTGGGAGGGAAGAATCGAATGTCTACATGGTACAAACGGTAGATGGGGCTCAGCTGCGAATCCAAAGGTTAGAAGTTTGCGTTCCCAGAAGCGCTGCTGAAAACTCGGGAACCCTGTTACTACGATGTGATGGCGTTGTCGGGAGCCGCAGTCAAGTGCATGGCCGCCGGTCTAAGTTCTTTGAGGAGAATTGAAACTGGACAATGACCGAGGAGAAGAGAGAGTGGGACATCCCAGGGCCTGAGAGGAGCTTCCCCGGCCGTGGGAAGGAGCCGGGGGCTGTGTGTCCTACAGACAGCCAGGCTGCTCCCCCACAGGACCTCCGAGCAAACGGGGCCTGGATTTCTGCTCCAGGCTCTCAGCCTGCACGCCCAGAACACAGCATGAACACGGCAAATGGGCAGCCTTGATGAGGCCAGGAGGGCTGGATGACAGCCCTCCAGCAGCCACCAGCCTGGGCAGATGGCCAGTGACCAGAGGGGGGTCACATCAGCAGAAGGTTCGAATCACCAGCAGAACACTTGGGGGCACTGAGCATGAATGGCTTGTCCCCTGGGTGCAGTCGTGAACACAAAGGCAGTAGAGTTTGGGGGCTAACGCCATCCATGCCACAGGGTTCTGGAAATATCCCTGCTTTCCTTTTGCATCCCCCACCCAAGTCCTCCATGAGAGACCAGGAAAACTGAACAAGGGTCTGAATCCACAACAGATTTTCCTCAAGATGTTTCTATTGATCTCTTGTGTAAAGTTGAAAAGACAACATGTCCTTATGTGTCTTTTGTTTGAGTGGCTCTCGGGGAATGCTGGAAATGCTAGAGAAGCCAAAACCTCCCCTCCACCTTCAACCTCCAACACTGCCAACGCTGTGAATGGGTCATTGCTACTGGTGGCCACTAGGTGTCAGGTCAGCTCCTGAAGCCTTACTGAGAGCCGCACTTCCAGCGCTTAGAGACCAGGACTTCGAACTGGTCTGACCACATTCCACGATGGCCAATGGACATGAGACAGGGATGAGTCTAATCTGCAATGTGTGAGTGCCCTGGAACAATCCCCAGAACGGGGGTTAAGGGTCAAAGCTCTGGAATGGGACACTTGGCACAAGAGTCAGATACAAGAGATGGGATTCTTGCCAGCACCACGGAGAGTGACCCACAGGGACTGGGGGGGGTGGGGGGGGGAGAAGACACTTTTGGAGAGAGGCTGACATAATGATCCCACCGGGTGGGGGGGGTGGGGGGGGGGGTGGTGCTGGTGGGGGTTACCATCTTTGAGTAGGGCCCTGCTGAGATTTGGTTGCTATGCAATGCCACCCTCATTTCCTAAGAGAGAGGCCATTTTCTAGCAGAGCGTAGACCTGTCATTATTTCTGCTCGCATTTTACAACTGAAGCAGGACGATCAGGTCAAAGTCCTCTTAGAGACGCTCCTGAGCGTCTCTGGAGTCTTGACAAGCCCTTTCTCTGATCTCCCAACCTCTTCCCTCGAAGGAACCTGGCACGACATCTGAGCCCCAAAGCGTAGCTAGTGCACTGAGATCCAGGACCCAGCAGCCTTCTGCCTGGGTAAGAGATCTCCAAGGGTTGGTGTTCTCATGGTGCTTGGAGTTTACCTGGAAGAACGGCCTGCCGATCTTATTCCCAAAAGTCAGCCATTGAATGGCCTCTGAATCCCAGTCCGACTCTAACGTGTGGATTGGAGTTGATGCAGAAGCCACTGGTTTGGGGCTCGGCAGCGGCCCGGTCCACATGTTGTCAAGAACTGTCTGGCCCAGAGGAAGGGCTGAGGACACGTGCAGTCCTCTCCCACCTTGTAACAGAGCCGCAAAGGGAGGCTCCGTTGGGGCAGGACTGCACAGGACCCTACCAAGGGGAGCCTTGCTCCGTCCTTCAGCCTGCTAAGTCTGGAGGCTGGAAGGCAGGAGGATGAGGCAGGAGCCACAGACCAAGGTGGAGGCAGGAGGAGCTTGGAGGAGGAAGAAGAGGTACAGTTAAGGCCAAAGACACACCCAGTCTCTGAAGGGGTCAGGCTGCAGCCTGGGAAACTGGAAAATAACACCTTGGCCTTCAACCTCCTCTGTGTCCAGAGTTTGGCTTCAGACACTGGCACGACCTCCTTGCTGGGTGGAGGACTGCCAGCCTGGCTCGCCCCTGGGCGTGGGAGCAGGGTGAGGTGAAACTGCTTTCCCAAGTCCCCACGGTGGCTGATGCTGCTGGGTGCTGTCCAGTTGATCCCGACTCATCGTCTCTGCGTGTGACCGAGCAGAACTGCCCCACAGGGTTTCTCAGGGGTCATCTTTTTGGACTCTCCCATGGACCCACTGGGGGGGTTTGAACTGACACCCCTTCCACTAGTGGCCAAGCCCTTCACCTTGTGCCACCAGGGCTCCTTGGCCCCACGGCGAGTCAAGGCAAGATGGTGGTGTGGCCCTGTCTCCCCGAGACCTTGCCCACCATGCTTTCCAGCCCCTGCGTGGCTTCCAGTGAGCTTTGCGTCCACAGCAGGCAAGTTTCCGTGCAGGTGCACCTGTTAGCAAGCTTGCTGCAGCCCGGGAAGGAAGCACTACTACAGGAGGCAGCAAGCCTGGACTGACCTATAAAAAACGGACTCATGGCCCCACCTAGAGGGCGGGATAGAACTGCCCCTGTGGGTTTCTGAGACTCTAACTCGTTCCTGGAGTAGAAAGCCTCCTCTTCACAGCCCCC